CTGGAGCTGAGCACGGCGCTGCGCTTCTACGGCGCCGCCGTCCGCTCCCTCTACGTGAGTGTGGGGCCGGGAGGGCGCGGGGTCCCGCTGCGGGCTGCCGGAGGGGTCGGAAAGGCTCCCTCGGGGGGCTGCCTGGCTTTGAGTTAGTGCGCGGTGGTGCTTGTTGGGTTTCACGTCGGTTGTGTGACCGCCGTGGTCAGAGGTCGGTCTGAAGAGCGTAATTGTTCTAGTTGTGTTCGGTTCAGTTATCAGCCCGTGTTAATTCCCTTCTCCCACCGTGGGTATTGCTGATTCTTGGCGATGCACACGGTCTGTGGAGGCAATACAGCAGGCAGCAGAAGAGTAAAGAGGATGTAATTGGTTATCCAGAGTGAACACCGTCTCCAGGAGTTTTCTGTGCTCCCGCATAGGGTGTGTGTCCAGCTACGAAACATCCTCTTCGTGGTCTGTGTTTTCTGTGTGTGCCAAAGTCACAATACTGAAACTATGGGTGTCTAGCCAGCAGCCTGACATGTCCGAGACTTGCACCACTTAGCACTGAGAGTGCTATTCTGCCCTTTAATGTCTTGGGCATTCTCAGATATTCATTGCTCAAGGGTCTCTTGGGCAGGCGAAATCCACATCCAGAGCAATTGCAGGTTTTGGGCTCCAGGCAGACATCAGCCATATGTGCGTGCCTCATAGCAGGATGTGCATCCCAGAGTTGTGTGTGTTTATAGCTAGTGGAAGACGTTTGGTATATGAAGGTGAGATTGAAAACAGATTGTCTGGAGCAGAGCTGCTCAAAAGTAGCCAGGAAAAAAAATGTTCAAAATGGCAGCACGTCTTCAGAATGCTGCAAGAGTACTAGCTGTTTTGTCATTGCATCTTCTCCTCTGAAGCCTCCTTTAGGCTGGCAGTTGAAGATGCTGACTAACATATTTACAAAGGTCTTGGTAGTGAAGGCTCAGTGTGTTTAGTGCGTTAGTCTGATCAAGTTAAAACCCACCTCCCTATCCAGATAAACCAACATGCTTTAGCAGCATAGGTCTGAGATGCAACTTTGGGTACTAATCTACATGGAGACACTTGGGAAACTAGCCATCCGTGTGGCCGCAGTCATTTGATGCAGTGATGCAAATTTGATGTAGTTCCCATGTACCTTGAGTCCGTTTATGGGTATTTGCTGAAGATTTAACATGCTTGCATTTCACGGAATTATACTGCCACTTAAGCTGTCCTCTTTTCGTTGTCCACACTGCCCTTACCTAGAGAAATCCTGAAATCACATCTGAAATCCAAAATTTTGAGGGATTCAAGTTATGCCTGTGTGAAAGATGGGTGGTGTTAACTGAGGCTGGCTGTAAAGATGAAGTAACTCACAAGTATTAAGTTGAGTTCAGACTTCAGTTTGACCCTTAGTTCATTGTCTTGTCTTCCATACTCTAAGTCTGGTCACTGATTAGCCAACCCAAGTAAAAAATATACTTTTTGAAGCACAGACATATTCTTGAAAGATAGCGTGCTGTGTATCCAGTCTCTGAGAACCGAAGATAACAAGTAATGTGTCAGATAAGTGACAGAAAGGGGACAGAGTTTTCAAAGAGCAGTAAATTGGTTAACAACCCTAGGTTTCTTTAATTTAATGATCTTATTATTTGCCCATGCCATAAACCAGAATTTTTTTGTTTGAAAGAATACCTATATAGAGGCTAGTCCAGAATCACTTTTAGAGCTCTTACAGCATGATTACTCAGTACTAAGGATGGGCGATTTTACTATAGGCAAAGTCTGATAATGAATGGTATTTCAGTATCAGTACATATAATATGCAGAGGCTTTTAACGTGCATTTATTCTGTCACACATATTGCAAACCAGAAGCACAGTGCAAACTGTATGAGTGTAGGGACAGGAGAAGTGTACTTGTTAAGGAAAAGTATTGAGCAGTCTTAATTGCACCTTCAGAATACACATTATTATTGTATATTGGCAGTGAGTACTTATTAAGCTCTATGGTGTTATTTAGTAAGCAGAATTTACCAGAGTATTGCTAGCTGATGGTAAATATTATCAAGCTGATACAATTAGCATGTGGTATCAGCAGAAATACGTCATAATGCCTCAAGGAATTCCTGGATCAAATTTTGAGTTGTTGTGATGAGATACATCTTTCTGTATGGTTCATTAGCATAATGTGATAACGTTATTTTAATTTTTGAGTGCTTGTTTTTTGCAAGTGTTGCTTTCAATCAGTTGAAAATTTACATGGGTTGTCTATTTTTTCCAACAGTTGGGAAGCTGAGGTGTCTGAGTTAGCTCTACAGATGAATAAAAAGGCAAGGAGTTCTAAGGAAGGATTGTTTAGTATCAACTTGTCATAAAACCCCTGGCAACAAAACTTTTTTCTTTTCATGGACAGAAGAGAGAACTTGTATTTACTATAAGTGGAAACAGACTTTCACATACTGTAATCTTCAATGTGGTGTTTTCCTGTGCAAGGTTTATAACACTGCATCCTATCACTAACTGCCCTCAAACCAGGACACTAACCAGTGCTGATCTATTTGTTTTAATAGCACACTTTTAGTAAGGCTTTTTCAGTTTACACTAGGGCTCACTGATGTGGAAAAGCTAAAGGATTAAGCATTACTTCCTTTTAGGGAAGAATCAGAGTCCTTTAAGGCAAGCTTAGATCAATTTGTTAATTGTTACTTTTATTAACTTCCTAAATTAATAGTTGATCATGTTTATATTAGAAAATTTCGCTGCTTTAAGTCAACTGGCACTTCATTATACAAATAACTGTCTTACTCAGAAATATTCAAGTCCTCAAAAAGCCTAGTAACTGAACAGGGAAAAATACCTCATTAGTTTGAAACTTTAATTTTTGTTATATAAACGGAGAAACAACTTTTCTTTCAATAGAAGTACTTTATTACTTTGTACCTCCTTCTCCTCACTTGGTTTTTCAGGGTGGACCTGTAATAGAGTATGTGTGATTTGTTCTGCTACAGAGCACAAATGTATGTTAACTATGTGTGCAATCCAGAAGTTTAACATGCTAAAAATACATCTGTGTTAGTTCCTGTCAAGTTAAATACTATTATACCCTAAAAGGAAAGATGTACAGTACAGCTGGTCTTCAGACAACGCCCACCTGAGGCCTTTTTTTCCCCTTTCCTTTTTGACAGGAATGATACTTTAATGAAACTCAGTATTTACCCTGAATTACTTCTCTGTATTTTGAGGTTTACACTTTAACCTATCTGTGTGACCTTAAAAGAAACAGGGTAAAGTTAAATCATACTGTTCACCATCTTTGCCAATATAAATGTATTCTTAAACCTGAAAACTAAAACTATTTTTTCAGTAATGATGAATATTCTTTCTCTACACTAAAAATCTCTTCACAAAGTGAGCAATTTGTGTATTTATTTTCATTTAATGGCTTGCAAGTGTTTTCTGGGTGATGGAGTACTTGCCATCAAGAATTCCCTTAACATTTAAAACTGAACTGTCTTATTTATAAACTACAAACAAATGAAAATGGGCTTGGCATTTTTGCATCTCCATAATAAAATTACTTGTTGCATTTAAGTTGTTAGCAAGATAGAAAATGAATAGCCGGAAGCATGCCCCTAATAAGTGAAAAGAGGAAGGCCAAATATTAGATCATTTCTTCTGGTGTCTACTTTGTTCTGTAGTATTAACTAGTCCCGATTGTATTTTCTTTTAATGTTATTTTAATCTCCCCCGTAAATGGCAGACCATGCAGCCGCAAAGTCTGCACACACCAAATCTGATGAAGAGCATGGAATTTGTTTAAAATACTTCAAACAGCAGTCATCTCTCACAAGAGGATTTAGAGTGGGAGTAGGGGTGCTTGTGTACAAAAAGTATAAGCAAGAAGAAGGAAGGGAAAAACTTTTCGTTTACTCTAAATTTATTACTTTAAAGGTGGAATGTACATCCTTGCTAAAATGTCTTAATGCCCACCATCTTCCCTGTTGTAATCCAGTGGTATAGTATAATTGGTGGCTTTTAATTTTTAGGGTGAGTTTTAGCTTTGCTTTACAGGGAGACAAAGCATTTTCTGTCATACAGATGTCATAGAAGCTCTGGGAACCTTTCTGGACCAGATCTCTGCTGCATGTCTGCCTGCAAGGTCTAGACTGGGCTAGCCTGTGCTGTCCTCTTAGTTCTGGATTCCTAAAATTCATAGTTCATCTTAGGATCTGTGGCCACTGTTAAATCACAAGTGATTAGAGGAAAAACAATCACAATATTCAGCTTCTCCTCCCCTTTCTAACATGACCTGCATTCCCATCATGCTTGTGCAGATTATAAGCTGCTCATATATGTTAGATATACTGCTCATGCATAAAGCCAACTTCCCATTTTTTACATGATCTTTACTCTTTAAGTATTTTTCGCTGTAGCAGCTAATGAAATTATACATCTGCAGACAATACAGTCAGCATATGTCAAGCCACTTTTAAAGTAAATTCTGTTATACCGTGTCAGCTATTGGCTAAGTTTAGCTAATGGTTCATGCTAGCCATTATCCAGTTATACACCAAACTGATTGCACACTAGCCTGTGGGAAGGGGCATGCTCTGACCCCCGGGGTAGCCAAAGGAGGGTTCAAGGTATAAGTGTGTGCTGTATATGAAGAAGTGATTTGTAGCCCGAGTTTCTGTACTACACTCTTCCTTATTTGGTATATGTAGTGGTAGTAATGGTGATCCAGACTTTAAAGGATGTTGCCAAGATATATGTAGCCAGCATCCCCGGCAGGCTTGCACAGGCCACAGTTTCTCTGTGTCTTGAAGAATATATGTAGTAATGTCCTCCTTGTTTCTCCTTTTCTACTGTATACATTTGGAAGAAAAATTTGGAGACTATCAGAGTGATCAGAGACAGGGAACAGCTCTTATGCAGGGAGTGCATGAATAGGCTGGGGGTCTTCATTTTTGAGAAGAAATTACATAGGGGGAGAGACTGGACAGGATTTGATTTTATGTCCCAATACAAAAACTAGGGGCCATCAGATGAAGCTGTGAGTCAGACTGAAAACAAACAGAAGTAGGAGACCTCAGGGTATGAGTCACAGATCTGTGAATTTCCATTTTAAGGGATTTTGTGGATGCATAAAGTTTATACGTGTTGAAGGGAAGACTTAACAAATACGTGAAGGACATCCACTGAGGATGGATAAACAGTCAAACCACAGGGAATCCCTTGAGCTGAATGTGGTTGGAGGCTGATTGGAGGAGTACGTACATGTCTTTCTCTTGTTCACCTGAATCCGTAAGCTACCACGTATGGTTGGGCACAGGCAACTTGGCTGGACAGCCTTATGGTCTGAGTCATAGTGGCCATTCTGATGCTCTTCTAAACATTCATAAAGATTGTTTCACGTTGCGAACATCTTGACCATGTGAAAAGATCCAGCAGCAGTTTGTTCTTCTTGGACTTGCAAGAGTCCCTGTGAGTGAGATAAATCTGTGAGAGATTGTAGTTTTAGTTTCATACCTTGTGGTGCCAGTTTTGGGACCTCTGTCCCTTTCCGGGTCATCTGCGTGTGTGGCAGCAGCTCTAGGGTGGTGAGTGCCTGGCTGCCGGCAGGTAGTCAGGTATGTCCTGTCATCAGGTAGTCAAACACTTGGAAATACACTTTTATGTGCCTGATTCATACAGTGACATACACATCTGGAAGAAGGGCCCGGGACAAAAAGCTCTGTGTGGTTAACTGAAAAAGTAACTGGTGCAAATATTTGCATCCTTACCATTCGCAGTCATGCTGTTGTAAAACTGCTCTTCAGGAGAGTTAACAGGTAAAAAGAGAAGAGTTTTTGGTCATCTGGGAGGGTCTGTACACAATTCTTGATAGACTCACAGAGAGGTTGCAGTGGGTCTGGGTCTGAGAAAGACTGAGAAACTTGTGAAATGTGGTGGTTGTGTATATATTTGTTAGAAGAGGAAACAAGTATCTGAAAATTAAATAACTAAAGTCTTTATCTAGGTGAAAAAAGGTTGGTCTGTCCATAAAGTAGACTTCTGGGTTTGGGCAATTGGAATCCCAGGACTCGTGACATGGGATTCAAAACAAAAACCTGAAAAAAATCAGTTACTTGACAAATCCAAGGCTGACTTTTGACTCAATTTCTTTTGGAAATGCAACGAAAATATTGTGATTTACAGCACATAGGTCTGGGACACAGCCATGTGAACAGTATCTATCTTATAATTTCCACCCTTTTATTAGGTTGCCACTAATGGGATTATTGCAGTGAATGAACCCTCAAGTGAAGAAAAATATCTTGGTCAATTCCCAGTCAGCTTTGGGGTTATTGCTCCTTTTATGGCTGATCTGGACACAACAGGAGGACGTGGAAATGTGTATTACAGAGAAGATTCATCCTCAGATGTCTTGCAGCTTGCATCAGACTATATCAAAAGAGGTTTTCCTGAGACTACTTTTGATCCCAGCAGTGTTGTCATTGTTACCTGGAAGCTCGTGGCTCCTTACCAGGCAGCGGGAGAAGATCATGCTTTGGAAGAAAAGGTGAATGTTAATCAGAGCTTTAAGATGTGTTGGAAACATTTGGCTGAAGTGTAACACTGGAACCTTGTTTGGAAGGTTTAAATTCCTTTGTATTCAAATGAATCCTGTACAGTTAAGAACATACTTTGTTGTTGAAAAAGCTGTAGCAAAATAGGAGTTTCTAGTATTTTTACTTGATTTTTATTTTGGAATATTTGATTCATTCAAAAGAAAATGCTTGAATCTACATAGCTGATTTCTTTGTATTTTCTGACAACTCTTACTTTGAATGTTAAGTGTGATGTGGTAATAATTGAAATAGGAGGATATCCTGCCTGCCATCTGTGCAATATCATCCAGTTGGCTGGCATTTTTTAAAAGACTCTTAAATCATTTTGACATCAAACTATCTAAAATCTGATAGGTCTGTGGACTAATAGGAATTTCAGATGTGAATCCCTTTTGGACAGATGACATTGCATTGACAAAAAGGTCATGCTTTGTAGCTAGTATTGAATGAAGAAGCAGTTAGAAGTTATTTTTTTGTATTACTTGCAAATCATTTTCCCTTTTTAAACCATGTTAGGTACTATCCTGCAAAGATACGTAACACTGCATTGACAAAAAGGTCATGCTTTGTAGCTAGTATTGAATGAGGAAACAGTTAGAGGTTATTTTTTTGTATTACTTGCAAATCATTTTCCCTTTTTAAACCATGTTAGGTACTCTCCTGCAAAGATATGTAATTTTATGCACCGTAATTTTCCCAGATGATGAGCCTGCTTACAATGTATAAAGTTGAGAACCGCAACTTAGCAAATCTTATTTTGTCAAAGATTAATTTCTTATGCCTAACTTGACACAACCATTGTGTTCACAACAAGGATTCAGCACTCTGGTAGCAACAAATAGTTGATGTCTGAAGTACTGTCTTAATGTTTCCTACAGTACGTAGGAGTGTTCCTACAGGAAAAGACACTTGCAGCAACATGAAACTTGAACTGTTCTTTAAATACTCCGTTTACAGAGTTTTTCTCTTTAGTCTAGCACATCACTCTATTTTAAGGAGATGATATAGCATTGTATGCATGTTACAAAACTTAGAATTGTTATGTTTTAGGCAGCCTCTCTGGCTGTTTCATAATTGATTAACTTACCATTCATAATGCTTTCTTTTTAGTGTTTATGAATGCTAAAGCTAAAACTGCCTTAGCAAAAAGTAAGATTGTATAATATTGATATCTCCTAGGAAGGACGTGATGCATTATGTGTTATGGAAATTCTGATTTTGACTTCGTATTTAACAAAATGTTATTCTGTTGTCTATCTTGATTATTTTTCCATGAGTAAATGGATGTTAAATTTTTTCCACAGAGGAACACGTTCCAGGCTGTTTTAGCCTCTTCTGATTCCAGTTCCTATGCTATTTTCCTTTATCCAGAAGATAGTTTGCAGTTCTATAGTACATACTCCAAGAATGATGATGGAAAGATTCCTGCTATGGTTGGCTTTAGTCAAGCCTCTACAAACTACTACTTTTGGGAAAAGTCAGGATCCTACAATGTCATTGCTAATGATGAAGACAGCATTAGAAACCTGCACAAGTATGCTTTTTTGTTTGTTTAAACTCATCAAGAAAACATCAAGGAGTTCCATGTTTTTCTTAATTGTAGCATGAGTCAATAAGAAATAATAAGGTCCCATTAGCCATTGCATGAGAAATCACAAAGTCTGCCACTGATAAATATCCACCCTCTTGAGGAACATAAGGAGTTAGGTCTAATTTGTCAAGAGTCCAGTTTCATTGTCACTGGTAGGTGCTGCTCTATACTTAGCCCCTCTAAAAATAGGACCGCTTAAGACTTTAACTCTTTATAATCTATCCTGGGCAGTCTTTTTTTGTTTGGTTTTGAAAGAAAAAGTGAACAAGAAGGAAAGGGAATGAGTCAGAAGGTTCTAATAAGTTTTAACAAGATCTTTGTGGCTTGAATATCTCCTTCTGTTCCCATCAGTTTGGAGACAAGAAGGCTAGAAATTCTCAAGAACAGACCTCTGGGTGTGGAGGAAAAAATGCTGTTCAAACTGTCGGGGTGTTTTATAGCTGAATAAACTGTATCTGTAGATAAGTATGTAGATAAGATAATTTGACAGTTTTGTCCTGATATTTCTCAGTGAAGGATAACAGTTTGTGTAGGGTAGAAATGCCACACGACTTGTGCTTGCTCATTTTGATTTGGCATATCCTTCTCTTTGACAGAAGCAGCAATTCGGGGAAACAAGGTGTCTGGGTATTTGAGATTGGTAGCTCATCTGACAGTATTGTGCCTGCTAAGATCAGCAATGTTTTGGAGAGCCTAGAGTCCAATGAACAAGACCAGGAGATGACTTCAAAACCATTCATGTCAGACTATGGCTCCACTGAAATAAGACAGCAGTATGTCACCAGTAGTACAGACAGCACAGAAGAGGATCAGCACTATGTTACATACAGTGTTCCTCAGTTAGCTGCAGAAGACTTTCTGACTCCATACCAAGATGTAACAGGAACACCTTCGACTGAGTCTTTTTACAGTCATCAAGATTTCCCGACAGCAAAAGCTCCACCTCGCCCATTCCATGTCCAGCAGTTCCCCCCACAGCAACCCCAAGTCATAGATGTGGAAGAATTTGATGAAACTGGTATAGGTAAGGGTCTTTTGTATGGCTTGGATACTTCTAAGATGGATAGGCTGCAAAAAACAAAGGTGTGCAAGAAATTGAACTACTAAAGGAATAATCTGTTTCCTTCTCGCCACCTTCACATCTGAAAATCTGGACACATTTAATAAGTTTGTGTTATTCATTGAGATGGTTAATTTGGACATCACCTCAGATTCAGATCTTACAAGTCTAGTAAACTAGTGTTCCAGTCAAGCTCACAGGAAAGCACATTTACACTGTGTCTGTGGAACCTGAATCTCTCCTCAGGAAGACTTCCTATAGGGGTAATTGTGTTCCTGGAGCTGATGCATTCTTAGTGACAACTGATTTCCCCTTCTCTTTTTCTAAGGGCTGTTGTTAAAGGTATGATCTTAAGTTTAATAGCTGCGTTAAGTGGCTGTTATTGGTAAGGATTTTATGATCAGTTCTACTAAAACCTAGCTTATTTCCTTTCATAGGCATGTTACTAAACACACGTGATTTAACAAAGGTTGGGAATAGTAACTGTTGTAAAAATTGTTGGCTAGGGTTTCATGGCCTTAAGTTTTACAAGGGTGGGATTAGCGATTCTAACTTCTGAGGAAGTGTTTGTAGAAAACTCAAAACAGTGTGACTGACTGCCCAGATGTTGTTTCTTGAAGCACATGCGAGAATTGCTATCTCCGTGAAATATAGGGTAATCCAATTAGGTTTACAGGGTGCATCAGTTGGTGCATGGTCCTGGCTACCGTATTGATGAGTTTTGTCATGAGGTTGGAAAGGCTCTTTTTTGCTTTGCTTTGGAAACAAAGGACTGGTTACAATTATTGTGTATTTAGTTTCGCCAAGACAGTTTAACAGATCTGTATTAATATAGATCTTCTGAAATCAACAGAATTAAAGGTTTCTAACATCTGAAGCCCTGATGTTTTCTGCAAAATAGTAAACTGTTACTTGCATATTGCAAGGTTAGCAAAAATCAATTGCAATTGTTTGTTCTCCTTAAAGAGAAAATCAGAAAAAACCTAATCAAGTTAGTCTAGAGATATTTTTAAACTAAACTGAAGATATGTGAATACAATAGTAATTACATGAAGTGTAAGTGTCTGATCTTATTTTCTACAGTGTTTCGCTACCACACAGATGTCCAACAGACCTGTGCTAACAACCGCCACCAGTGCTCTGTTCATGCTATTTGCAAAGATTATCCCAACGGATTTTGTTGCAGTTGTATTGCTGGTTACAAAGGAAATGGTAGACAATGTGTAGCAGAAGGTAATTTTTTTGAAAATTAGGTACATATGCAGCAATTACTCATCCTTGAATGAGGGGACCTGTTTTCAATACTAAAAAAGACATGGTTAAATACTTCTTGAAAGACTTACTTTTCAATACCTCTCAGTGGTATTTTAAGAAGTGAGCTATGCTTTCTAAAGTGGTGTGGGTTTTTTGGATGAAGTAAATTATTTTAGGTGGTCAATTATATGCATTATGCATTTTAACATGACTTTCTAGAAAAAATAAACTTTTGCATAACTGACATAATTAAATAGATAGCGTAACATGCAATGTTTATTGCTAGAATTAGTTGTGAAGTTCCAATGTGTTATAATCTCATTTGGTCCCCGCTCTAGAAATGGACAGTTCAAAGAGGATGAACAAATTAACTTTGATCATCAAACTAAAGAGCATGGCTCCTCTTTGTCTGACTCTTAAGCTTCTTTACCATAGGGCTAATCTGCCAGATTTTTGTTAGATACCCATTTAAACTTTGTTCCTGTGTAAAATCTATAAAGGAATTTCTTATGTATACACTTGTAATCCTCATTGTGACTTGACTCAAGAGTGTACATGCATTTTTAACAACTAAAATAGCTGACTGTAGACTTTGTGGTTTATGAGGCAGGAAAGCAAAATCTACTACTTAGCTTTCAGTTCATAAAATTGAATTTTCCAGAGAAAGAAAAGAAGGATCTGATGATAGTAAAATTTGAATTTGCATGTAGGAAATTATATACAGAAGAAAACTAGCAATCCGAAGTAGCTACTCTATAAAACATGGACAGTTTTAAAGTGGTCAATAGTTTTGAGTGGAAAAAATAGAATAGGTTAGAATAATAGGTCAATTATTCTAACACCTAATGGTGTTAGCCTTCTAATAGGGAATGAACAAATTTACCTTCAGTAGGTATTGATATGAAATGTGATCTTCAAAAGAAGTTTCTGTGTGCCACTTACTGTCAGAGAGACTGTGACAACTTAATCTGTTTATGGAGTTAGCCTTGTAGACAAAATTGTTAATTAGGATAAAGGGCATCTCTTCCGGCAATTTTGGCCACTTGGTCATCTGTACAATGACAACACACACACATGCACGCATATATGTACGTACATAAACAAATTAACACATTGTTTGTAGGCAGTTTCCTGTCAGTTGAATTGTGTGAGCGTTCATTTGCCATTTATTTCAACACTAATATCTTTGGACAAAGTGAACACTCTGAACATGTTCCTTGGAGAGTATGTGAGAACTGTCATTTTGTTCTGATGCATTGTATTGATTTGCCAGGTTCTCCTCAGAGAGTCAACGGGAAGGTCAAAGGAAGAATCTTTGTAGGAAATAATCCCATTCCAGTTATATTTGAGAACACTGATCTCCACTCCTATGTCGTGATGAACCAAGGGCGTGCTTACACTGCTATCAGCACAATCCCAGAGACTTTGGGGTATTCATTACTGCCTCTTGCCTCTATCGGAGGTATCATAGGATGGATGTTTGCTGTGGAACAGCAAGGATATAAAAATGGATTCAGCGTTACTGGTAACTTCTTAATTAAAATAATGTTCAAAACTGTGCTATGCTTTCCTCTGTCTTGAGAGAAAAAAGATGTGTAGTTAGAAGAAATATAGGATGAAACCATGCTTATTCTGAGCTGCAAGTTGATTCTTTGTAATCAAACTTCTCGCCATTTTTCCTGTTTACAGTGTATAGATATTGGGCTTTTTAATTTACCATCAGTGCACAAGCATGTAAGTCTGTTAGAAAGAAGAATGGCTTGGCCAGTTCCTGTGCAAGAAAGATAATTAAAAAGGATCTGAATTTTGGTACTAGAGTGTACAGAGCTACTGAAAAAAGCTGCCCCTACATCTACAAGAGGTCTAACATGTTAATTGCCTGATCATACCAATGGAGCAAAAGAGAAATTAAAATCTGACCTCATGAAGGTCTGAAATTCTTAACAGAAGCAACTCCTGCATGAGACACAAATGATTCTGTTAACTTATTTGAGGGAGATCCCAGTTTACAATTACAGATTTTCTTGAGAGTCTGAGGCCAAATCTGGGTGGCTGTGCACATGAATTTGAGCTGTAGATCCAATCTGTTCTTGGAGAACATGTGTTTCTTTTTAAAATTTTATCCTTTATAGCTTTGTACTATGAATTTAGTTGAACATGACTTTGTTTTGGAGTTTTCTTGCATTTGGTGTGTTTGAAGTCTGTTCTGGAATTTACAACATACGTTTCACTTGGTTTTGATTTGGAAACACATGTACTGGATTTTTTTAAATTTTGTTTAACTCGCTGTATTCCTAATGGAGGTTTTCTCTAAAATGTACAACTCCTTTGCAATTTTAACAGGTAGGATAAAGCCTGCTATTATTAGCTTTGTTGGAATTTTTTTTAATTAAAAAAAAAAAAACAAAAAAAAACCCCAAAACAAAAAACCCAGGCTTCTTCAGTCTTACTTTCAGTTTAGTGTGTGTTCGGTGCTTAATAGAAGATAGTTTCCTTGCAGTATCCAAGGATATTATCAGCATACCTGTGAAAGTTATTTCTGTAGGAACCCAAAACATCAAAGCTTGCAGAAAGTAGTAATTTATATTTTATGTTTTATCTACTAGAAGTAATACTTTGAATAGAAGGATTCAGAAACCACTGTTTAACTAATACTGTTTCTTTAGGTGGCGAGTTTACACGGCAAACTGAAGTAACTTTTCTTGGCAACAATGAGAAGCTGGTTATAAAGCAGAAATTCAGTGGAATTGATGAGCATGGTCACCTTACCATCAGCACAGAAATGGAAGGCAGAATACCTGAGATTCCATCTGGCGCATCAGTCCATATAGAACCATACACTGAACTCTATCACACTTCTAGTTCTGGTAAGGTTCCCTACGAATGAAATTATAAGACAGTGTGCATTTCTCAGAACAGAGAGTAAGACAATCTGAAGAACATTACTTTATTCCCTTCTTGGTGACTGTACTTAGGACCCTTCAATTTCTAGAAAGTCGCTTTTTGCGTCTTAGGAACAGGTCCTGAAGGAAGGTGGATTTTGAGCGGTATAATGCAAATATTTCTCATCTTTTTATTGAAAAAAAAAAAAAGTGAGTTTAACTTTCTCTGAACAGAAGACTCTCGATTTTCCTTTCCATTGGTCTTTTTTACACTGCTGATGGCAGTAGTACAAGTCTCTTCAATCAGAGTTGAACTGATGTATACCTTTTTGTGGTAATGTCATCAAGTGGGCTTTGGTCTTGACCGATGAGACTGTGCAAACCAGTTATTTACCAGTATGTGTCATGTAAACTGCATTGCAATGACTGTGCCTTGTGTTAGTAAGAAGCATTTGTCAGTATTATTTTAGCTAAATTTGAACAACTGACCAGAAAATTAGGACCCTCTTAATTCCCTTATCAGTTTCTCTATTGTCTCTTCAGTACTTCTCTCCTCTCTCTTCCTTATCTCAGACTCTGAGATTTGGTAGACAGTCATTCTTCATTTCACTATTTACAACGGAATGTCCCTTCTTTTGCCTTCCTGGATAAAATTATGGGTGTTTCAACACACCAAAACCAAAGTGAGGTTGGAGTGTTGCTGCTGGCCAGCCAGCCCAGCTGTCAAAGAGCAATAAAGAGGAAGCAGCCTGCAGTGCACTCACGTGTGCATGAATACTGGAGAGAGTACACTTTGCTCCAAGGGCACACTTTGATTGCTAAAGATAGCTGAAAATGGTGTCTTTGCATCATCACTACCTTATATCCACTAAGGTCTGGCTTTGATAACCAGCGATGAACCCCTCTTGCTACTTTGCCTGTTGTTATGGGCTGTGAGGAGGAGGAGCTGGAGGCAGCAGGAAAATTCCACTTTGTGCTGAACAACTTCTGAGTTTTGAAGGAGTTGTTTGGGCAGTGTGTGCTCCTGCCTTCTTGGCAGAAATGCTGTCCCCATGGAGGAAAAGTAAGGGGCTGGAAGGAGGCATCCTGCAGGCTGGATTTGATTTACTAGTATTCAAATAGTTATTCTTCTGCTGTCCTATGGCATATATGATAGACCATTACTTAGCAGAAATCCAGCTTTTGCCAGCTGTTGCAACTGGATTGATACAGGTGTGTTCTGGTATCCACATGAAGAATAGTGGAGTTCTGAGCTCTCCGTTGGTGGGAGGATCCACAAGCCCAAATCTGCTTTGAAGAGTTTTGGTCCCAATTTTTCACAATATAGAAAACTGTTGTTAGGCCCACAAGAGCTCTCAGACATGCATTTCCTTCAGGAGTCTGTCAAAATCCAAGGCCAACAGACCACAATGAACTAAAAGCTGGTGTAGCTTGGTGCTGGTGAGGTGGCTTTTGTCCTTCTTAGATTATAGATCCATTATGTAAATTCATCTAAAGAAACCTCTGAGTTTCCTGAGTTGAATTTTCTTTTCTTTACCTGGTAACCCACAAAGTACAGTTAAATTTCTAAAATATGCCAAGATAAATTATACGACTCATTCCTCAAGGCTGTGATAGCTGAGAACAGAGTAAGCCTAGTCGAGTGTCTGGAAATACATCCACTTTCATAGCTTCTTGCCTTTGAAATTTCTATTTACACTACTCAGCCTGTATCCCAAGTTTACAGATAGCATTAGGCAGAGTATTTTTGCTCTCTGTTCTGATCAGTGTGTTTGTTGCTGTGTTGCAGTGATCACTTCATCGTCCACCAGGGAGTACACAGTGACAGAGCCAGAAAGGGATGGGGTTGCTTCCACGTACACGGGCGCCTATCAGTGGCGGCAGACCATCTCGTTTGATGAATGCATTCATGAGGACTCTCACCATGCTGCTCCTGCTACTCAGCAGCTCTTGGTGGACAGTGTGTTTGTCTTGTATAACCAAGATGAGCAGATTCTGCGATATGCTATGAGTAATTCCATCGGCCCAATCAGTGGTGTGTATGAATTGGAAAACTTTCTTTTTCTCTTTCATGAGTAATTAAGAGCAGGCTTCTGTATTATTTTTTTTAGCCTGCCTTAGCTAGGTTAAATTAATGAGTTATATTAATTCGTTGCATTAGTCAATAGGACTCTGGGTCCATCAATTAAGAAGAGAAATAGGACTGTTGAAAGTTTGTATTTTCACTTGGGGAAGAGTATTTAAGTAATGATCTTCTCTTGAAATTCAGTGGAGCTTGTGTCTAATTCCTTGAAATAATCTCAACATACTGCCATGAATCTATTGCTGCTCAGGTACGTGGAGTGTATTGTTTACCTTTACCTAATTTATAGTTCCTCTACTAATGAATTTTTTGTATTGTCAGAGCAAAGGGCAGAAGTGAATAAAATTTGCCATGGAAATAGCTAGTTTCTATAACTTATCTTGAAACATGGTATTTTATCTTTGGAAGGTAGACAGCCTATGGAGTGTATTTTTTTTGGCTGACCTGTCCAAGTTTGTTTGCACTAAAATCAGAAAAAAGCAAAGGAACAATTTGAAAATGCACACCAGATGAGTACAAGAAAAGTCTGTGCTCACTTCTGGTTGTTACAAAGAAAAAGTTCTACTAATTAAAATGAACAAACCAAGCTATTAAGAATCACATTTTGAGTCTAGAGTCAGTGGCTGGAAGTTACATCATCTTTGTCAGCCTCTCTTTAGAGAGGTCATTGTGGCTTCTCTATTTTTTTAACTCAGCAGTCCTTTGCACAAGTAACAAGGAATACAGGGGCTATTGCCGTGTCTGAGATTCATGTCCCACATATCACCTGCAAGTCCTCTTCTTCCTGGTGCAAAAATCGTTCTCTCTTTGTTTCATGTGCACTACAAGCAGTCTCCTTCTGGGCCTTATCTGAGTGCTATTACTTGAATAGAGTTGTTGTGGTTAAATATGGTCTCTCTTGTCAGATGGTTCTGCTGATATTAACCGGAATCCTTGCTACACTGGTACCCATAACTGTGACACCAATGCGGTATGTCGTCCAGGAACTGGAAATCGTTTCTTCTGTGAATGTTCGATTGGCTTCCGAGGAGATGGAAACGTTTGTTATGGTATCAGAAAACTTTTATTGCAAAATGACAGCTAATGTAGAGTTTGTTTTGCTTGGAACATGTTGACCCTCAGGACTAGCCATTCCAGCAAAGAGAACTGTCCTGACAGGCTGTTTTGGAGAAAGATAGGTTAGAGGGATGCTGGGATAGCTGACATATCTCAATAATCAAAGTAAGCAAGCTTGACTGTCGTGAAGGGTCAAACTTGGGTATGCTTTGCTAGCTTACAAAGCAACTTTCCTACCCAGTTCATCTTTTCATAAAACCCGTGGGAACTTAGCTGTAATGTAAGTTCTGGTTAAAATGAGTCAACTAGGTTAAAAGTTCATAAGGGACATGAGGAATGGCATATGCACATGCACATAGAGCACAGGTATGTGGAACCCATGGAAATAATCCTTTTCAAGTTCTGCTTTGAAAATCCCTTCTGTTAAAGGAGACTTTTATTTCCTAGCTCTGTATTCTTAGTGTATTTGGGCACAAATACTTGTTTTCAAGAGGTGAAGGTGTGTATTAACTAATAGAGATGATGCATATTTCATTAACTCAGTTGTTGTTTTAATAAAAAGATCAAAACACTCCGACCCTTAAATCAACTTGCAAATGAAAACAGCATTGCGCTGTCCCTCCCAGTCCTCTGGTGCTGTGAGATTAGAGATGTACATGGATAATGAAAGGGGAAGTCTTTTCTAAAGTTCATGCTCCCCCAGTAGTCATCACTGCTTCTGATCACCCTGTAGGTTGCATTTTCTTTCTCAGTGGCTCCTCCTTCCTCTCTGATTTCCTGTTACAGAACCACTTCTGGTGGGTTTTTTTGGGTGCAGATTACCTGAGGACACAGTTACCTGAAAACTTACTTTCAGGTTACTAAGATGTCTTAAGAGGTATGGTCTATCCAAGATGTGGTTTAAATATGCAGGCCAGCTGTTATTCAGTAGTTGCTCAGTTTCTGGTTTTCTGGCATCAGTACTAAATGCATCTTTGTAATAACTGGAATCCTTATAATATTCTAGATGTTGATGAATGTTCAGAGCAACCAGGTCTATGTGGCAGCAATGCAGTCTGCAATAACCAGCCAGGAACCTACCGCTGCGAGTGTGTTGAAGGATACCAGTTTGCAGCAGATGGGCGGACTTGTGTTGGTGAGTTTCACGTTTCTTAAAAGCACTGCCCTCTGGCTTTCAGGCTGTGAGAGGGAAAACAGAACTTGTAGGATCTGCACTGACTTCTTATGTGATTTGAATTTAGGAGTTCATGATGCAGTTAGTGATTACAATCCATTAGGTAACTGAAGAAGGTGCCTGAAGTACTTTCTATTCATCTCATAAAAAATCCCTATTCAGAAGCTTTCCAAATAGAAAGTGGAAATGATTATTGAATGTTTCTGTCCTTTCTGTGCCATTATTTAGCTGTAGATTTCACATGGAAGTAAAATTCAAATTTGTAAAAGAAGAAAAATTAAAGTGAGCAGTTATTCATTTGTTGTTATTTCACAGCAATTCACTTTCAAGATGAGGTAGGACTTTTTCTGCATTTTCTGTAATCCTGTGCTTTGGCTTTTGGGGGTTTTGGGTTTTGTTTCTTTATTATATCTGATCCAGAATTAGATTTAACAGACTAGATTTTAGTTACAGATTCATCACTTGGACAAGGCAGTACACAGGTCTAAAACAGCGTGTCTTAGCTATTGCAGACTTATCCTGAAGTGATAGTTAATCACGCTGAAAAAGAGTTATAACTACAAATAATTTCACTGTTAAAATCTTTGAGATTTGGAGGAAATCTAGCTGGTTTGTTAATGGACCATTAAAACTTCAAATTCAGTAGCTGTCACTGAATTAGTTATTTTTATTTAATTTAAATACTTTTTTCCAGAGGAAGCCTGAGTTAATCTGTAATTGCTGTACTAAGGTTGCCCTGCTGAGGGTTATTTTTTTTCCTGTTTGTTCTGTTTTTCACTAAAGTTGTAGAAATTCTATTTGGTAGCTGGCAGAATTGATTGTAGGATGTGTATTGAAAGTTAATTTTCTATATAGAAAGAAAAACCATGAGCCTTCCTCTCAACAACATTAAGCTGATTCTTTTGGATGGCGATTATATTGCAAACATCAAAACCTAAATAAAAAAAAAATCTACAATGGCAGATAGAAAAGGGGTAATGACTCTACTGCTACAGCTGCAACTGTCAGGATAGGATATAGATTAGATTTTTCTTTTTTGGTTAGAATTTTTTTCTTCTTTTGCAACCTGACAGTAATTCTGTACTGATGAAACCTGTACATGGTCTTCCAGTATGGTTGGACCAGTTACTGTTTCTTTTGGAAATAAGTGATAACAGCTCAGGATTACGTTTGCTTCTGTCTTGGCTGCTTTTTGGTGGAAGCTTAGTTACCCTTTGATCAGCTTATGCATTCAGGTCTTTCCTCATTATTGCCGAGACTGTTCTTCAACTAAGACTGAGGAGCCTTTATCTTGCAGCAGAAAGTTGCATTACTTCCCTTAAGTGTGTGACTTTGCATACTGTGTATTACATTCCATCATGAGCCCCATTTCTCTGCTCCAGTAAGAATTACCATTCACGTCTGCTCACAGTGCACCCTAAGACTCACCTTTGTTGCAGAACAGTTGTAAAAAGCAACTTCTTCTACCAGGACACTGGAAAGAATAGGGTGAGAAGTGGAAGAGCAGCTCTACATTCTTTATGTTTACTACCGCCCTTATGTCACTTGGACCTGAAAGGGAATGTTTTCCCTCCAGCCATGACCTCACTGGCTTCACTTTACCACTTTCCCATGAAGTTGATGTGTCACACTTCTAACAAGTGCTAAGTAATTCATTGCCCAGCTTGAAGGACTTCAATTTGATCCCTTCCTTCAATCAAAACCAAACTGCATCTGTAAGACTGAAGAGATAGAAGATGAAGTCTAGTTTTCCAACTAGAAAATAAATGTCATGGTAATCTTGTTCCCTTTTCCACAGGGAACAAGATTACCCACAGACAACTTGGACCCCAGAAAGGGCAACAGCTACCCTCTTTGTGCTTTTACAGCTTGCTCTGGGATACCCGCTCTGACTCAGCTTTTCTGGAACTGCAGCTTTTTCATACCAGCTGTGTGACTCACTGGATAGCTTTAGAAGAGAGTTGTAAAAAAATCCTCTTCTCCTATTTGTAGGAATAGGAGGGCTTGGGGACTGCCTTTGAGCTCCAACTCCAGATCTTATGCATTTATAATATAGTTCTGAATAGATACATTTGTAATCTAAAACTTACTTCATCAAACAGAGCAGATACAAATGATTCTAACAATGAAGTCATCTCCTCCAGAGAGATGGAAATACCAACTGTTTTCAGATCTGTCTCTGATGGAGGATTTTTTTTTTTTTATTTCTCTGCTGATACTGTGGTAGTTTCCATCTGTGTACTGTGATGAGAGGAACATTGTAGAGTCTCATCTTGGTCCCCCGTCAACTCCTCATAAGAACTGTATAAAGAAAGACTCAGTGGACTCTCTATTACAGCAGCTGGAAGTTGGTTCCTAGATGTACACACTGCAAGCTCATCTATTTCCAGGCCCAAAATTTTTGTAGTATTTTGCTTCTTCCTATTTTAAATACCATAGTTTCCTTTCTTCTTCTCTGACATAACAGGTAAGCATAGGCAGGGCTCCAGCGACTGCCTGAAATAATTTGTGTGTAAAGGAGTGCAATGCCTTCAGACTCACTGCTGTCAACAATGAGAAAGTTATGAAAAGCTACAGGACTGGTCCCAGCTTCCACAGTTGGTCAAAAATCTCTCCAATTGTTGACAAATGTGTTTATCTTCTATCGAGTGAGTCACAACTCCTATCTGTTGCCAAGTGATGACAGCCCTGGGTCAGTGCAAGGTTAGTGTAGCAGGATATCTAATAATTCCCAGTGCAGTGAACTGGCCACTTAGCTAACACATGGGATACCTCTGTGAGATGCCTTACATTTCTTCATCCAAGACTCCTTTTTATAAACAAAACTGTCATGGCTATTAGACTCTGTCACTGTGGTAGCCTTTGTGCCCTGTTCTATAGTAACAAACATTTATGAGGTGCTGAGGAAAATCAGTTCCTCGTAAAACATTAATAAGAAGGTATAACACCAGTGAAAGGAGAGATCTTGGCAAAAAAAAAAAAAACAACAACCCCAACAAAACCCTCAGTTTTCTTGTTTCCTTTCTCTTCTGTATGCTTTCACAGCTCCTCTTCTCTCCCTATAAACTTATTATAGGGAGATTATAGGGCATGTAGTGCTAGAACGAGGGGGAATGGCTTTAAACTGAAAGAGGGTAGATTTAGATTAGATATCAGGAAGAAATTTTTCACTGTGAGGGTGGTGAGGCACTGGAACAGGTTGCCCAGGGAAGTTGTGGAAACTCCATCCCTGGACATGTTAAAGGCCAGGCTGGATGGGGCTTTGAGCAACCCGGTCTAGTGGGAGGTGTTCCTGCCCATGGCAGGGGGGTTGGAACTGGATAATCTTCAAGGTCCCTTCCAACCTAAACCATTCTATGATTATGAGCTTCAGGCTTTGTGCAGGAAGATTCAAGTTTTCATCACCTCTCTCGTACATCTAACCTGCAGCTGTTGAATACGTCGTGAACCACTGCCAGACCGGCACACACAATTGTGACATTCCTCAGCGTGCTCAGTGTGTGTACACTGGCGGGTCTGCCTACATCTGCACATGCCTCCCTGGCTTCTCCGGAGATGGGCGTGCCTGTGAGGGTGGGTAACACCATTTGTTGTGGGGTTTTTATACTCTTTATTGCACAACTTGGATGGTCATTGCAATGTCCTGTAGTTACTTGTGATTTAAAGTAGGAAATGTCATAGTTTAAGTCCCTCAGGCAGACATTACATTAAGCTTTTGTCTGTTCCTCTCCTCACTCTTGAATTCACTCTTCAATATTTGAGCTACAGAAGGTCCAAGATGAGGTAAATGCAAAAATTGCAGTTGTGGCACTTACCAGACCAGATCTTCATCTGCTGGAATTGTTTGCACTGCATTAGTTTATATTACTAAGGTGGTAACACATGATGCTCAGACTACATTAAAAAGTTATATTCTGTTTCATGTCAGATGGAGTGTAGTGGGGGAGCAGCTTTACCTAACTACATGTTGGAAACCTTGCTGGCCAAATCCTACTTCTTATGCTGTGTTAAGTCTTTTCCTTGAGAAGTATAAGCATGTATTTCTAAAATACTGTGTGAGTTAACTATGCTAGTTACCCATTGGAATAGTAGAGTGCAGGGAGTTGCTGAGAGCCAGAACCTAGAATAAATGCATGCTTTTTTTTTTTTGCCTCCTTTGCATTTCCGTATAGATGTTCTTCCAAAAGTCTATAATTCTAATCAGATATCCTAAAATAGGTGCCTGAAAGTAATATGGCAGGTTCGCACTTTAATTCTTCACTTTGATTTGTCCATCAGGAGGAACAGTTGTCTGAGGTTGATCTTTTCTTTTACAGATGTAGATGAATGTCAACAGGGCCACTGTCATCCAGATGCCTTCTGCTACAACACTCCTGGGTCCTTCAGCTGCCAGTGTAAGGCAGGTTATCGTGGGGATGGTTTCCGGTGTGTGTTAGGAGGTAAAATTTTATAGTTCTTGAAAATTGGACCAGAAATGTAATTTGGGAATAGGAGGATATATGTTAATTTGGTTCCTCTCTGTAACAGACTGTGTATTGTCTTACTGGGGTCTTTATTCTTTCTGAAGTCTTTCAAGTTTTGAACCTCTCCAAGTTTCTATCAAAATCTGTATCTTGACCATTATCACTTTTCCGTGACATCCTGTTCAATGTCCTTTTTTATGTTTGTTTGTTCTGTCCTCAGCAGTTCTCAGCCTCAAGCTGATGCTATCTTTTGAAGTTGCTTTATGTAAGGGTTTGACCACAGGTTGATTTGGTTTGCATAAGCAGTAGTCACTTATCAGAAAACCTCTGGAACTGCTGGCAATGTAAATGAAATGCAAAAATTACAGGAGAAAAGTGAAGGATGAGACCAAAGTACCTGCATTGTTGTCTTTGGTGGTATCTAGATGCCTACATGCCACATATAGCCGGCAAGAGTCCAGAAAGACTGATTCCAGTTTCTAACTAGCACTAAGTATTTTTTTTTATTTACCCAGCTTGTTGTCTGTTTAGCAAAAAGTTCTTTACCCTCCCACACTTCTGTTCTTGCGTCGTAGTTTGGTCCTCGAAGTGTAAGTATAAAACTCCTGATCTTGAAGGTATGCTTAAAGAAATAGAAAGTAAGGAGCACTGAAGCACAAAGTAGCATTGTTACAGTTACTTTAATTCAGAAGTGTGGTAAGCCTATGGGACAGCACTTAGGTTTTGCTGAATGGTGAATACTTTCATTCAGGAAATAAAGCCTAACTTCTGAGTATATTCAAACCCAATTCTGCTTCTAAGGTACTTGCTGTTAGGCAAAAGACCCTGTGCCTCTGAAGAGACTGAAACACCAAGAGTAGGAAAGGCGTAGGGCCAAAAGAAAAGAAAGCAAGAAGCAGTAAGACTGAGGAGGGAGGCTATCTTTATAATTCAGCTTCTGCACTGTGATCTTAATGATGTCCAATGTATTTGGTGATTCAAAATTGAGTTTGTTTGTTTGCTTTTAATAGTGGATGTGCTGTCCTAAAAGTGCTTGTCTGCATGGCACAATATTACTACCTGGTGCATTGCTGAAACTTAATATTTTTCTTTTGCCACTATATTCCCTAATTCTGAAGTTCTGACTTTGGGGTTTTTTTCACAATTGGACACCCATGTCTTAAAACAATAAGGCAAAGGATCTTTTATAGGAAAGGCATAAAAAAAAAATCAAAAGGTATTTTCTGGTTTTAGATCAGTTTTATGTGACTCTTCATCAGGTGCTCAACAACATGTGTTATGTTAAATCACCCAGTGCTTGTAGACTTTTCTATCATAGGTAAATTGTAGGAGGCTTTGCAGTGTTTAATTCTGAAGCTCTAGTTTTTGCCACTCTGTCAGTCTTTGAATATTATTTTTAACTAACTTTTCATGCATGAACGTCCATGTATATTTTCATTTCTGTGCCAGATGAATGAAGAACTACCCAGTGTTTCTGACCTGTGTCAAAATATTTAGCTAACCAACAAGCTAATAAAACCAAGATTATTCCTCCTAGAGGAGAAACTCGATGGGAATAACTTGAAGCAAAGTCAAACCTTGAAGCTTCCAGTTCTTCAGGAATAATTGTAGAGGCAGAAATATTGCTTTTATGCCTGGCACAGCCCTTTTGTAGCTGAAACAGGTGGTTTGGTAGACTGATACTTGAATTTAACCAATTAACTTTATTAGCAGGACACAATTCATTTTTTCTGAGTATATGTGATAGCATATTTAAGTGTTTTAGTTTTTTTTGTTGAGAACAACACCTTTTCACATTATCATGGTTTAACCCCAGCTAGCGACTAAGCACTGCACAGCCACTTAGTCACTCTTCCCTCGGTGGGATAGGGGAGAGAATCAGAAGAGTAAAAATGAGAAAACACGTGGGTTGAGGTAAAGACAGTTTAATAGGTAAAGCAAAATCCGTACACACAAGCAAAGCAAATCAAGGAATTCATTCCCTACTTCCCATCTCCAGGAAAGCAGGGCTCCATCATGTGTAGTGGTTACTTGAGAAGACAAACACCATAACTCTGAATGTGATCACCCCACCCCTTCCTTCTTCTTCCCCCAGCTTTATATGCTGAGCATGATGTCACATGATATGGGATATCCATTTGGTCAGATGGGATCAGCTGTCCCAGCTGTGTCCCCTCCCAACTTCTTGTGTGCCTCCAGCCCACTTGCTGATGGGGTGGTGGGAGAAGCAGAAAAGGCTTTGACTCTGTGTAAGCACTGCTCAGCAATAACAAAACCATCCCTGTGTTATCAACACTGTTTTCAGCACAAATCCAAAACATAGCTGCGTACCAGCTAATATGAAAAAATTAACTTTATCCCAGTCAAAATCAGCACACACATGCAGTGGTTAGCATGTCTACTAAACTGCTAAGCAGAGTGTACTATTTTGTTCTAGCTTTATGTTATTTTTTGCTGTTTATCCTGTACGCTTCTTGACTTTGCATACTCAACACTATTGTTTCTTGAACAGGGATCTTTCCATGTCACAGCTTTAATGGCAGTAACAAAGTATTTTGGAGATTTTTGTTGTATCCGTGGGTGGGGATCTGCCAGGTTTTGTTAGTCTTCATATATGCCTCTCTGATTTTTATTTTTTTTATGCTGTTTTGTACTGCCCGTAGAAGTACATACTCTAGAAACACTTGTATCAATTGTCTCTGCTCATGAAATACTCTGAGCAGAAAAATTCTGTGTAGACAAGTCTCATTTCTGATGAATCCTGACTGAAGTACAGAGTATATCTGTAATGCTCTTCTGGTCTTCAGCGACGGCAAAGTTTACAACAAACTTAGCTACTCCTCCCTTCTTAGAAAGTTAATAGAACAATAGCTGCCCTTGGATTGTCATCTGTTGCTAAAGCTTTAGTACTTTTAAAATGGATATATCCAAGAGTTAATCATTGCCAGGAGATAGAATCAGATGCGCTTGCTGAAGCCTAGCAAAAAGCAGCTTAGTTTACTTTAGCACCCAATTTGTAAAGTAAGTTGCTTCAGAATGGAGATTCCAGATGAGGCTCTATTGTATTCAGCTGTAATTAGAGACCCTTTCTTCCCCTTTCTACCCACTAAAGTTTTGATCTGATTAGCCTCAGTCAAGTCACTGAAGTCTTTCCTGGTTGTTAATAGCATGGAAAGTTTCATTCATCCCAATACTCCGTTCTTTTTGCTGTACCCTTTTCCAATTCATGTGTACAATTGCTTGCTTGTTTGGTGTCTTTATTATTATATGAAACCTACTGTTGAATCTTACCACTGCTGAATGGCAACTCTTGAAACAAGTGGACTAACAAGTAAGATGGATTTGAGTCACACACTCGAGAATGTCTGTAGGAGTAAACCAGCAGGTTAATGAAAGAGTTAATGATGCTGGAATGTCCCAGCGCTCACAGCTATTAAGAAAGTCTGTACTTCATTATTTCCTCACGCTTCATTTTTCCATTTCAAAAAACCAGATGTCTGAGTGTTTCTACCCCTGCAGACCCCAGACACTGTTTACTAAACAGAAACAAATCTAGATTCTTGGAACTAGGGGTCTGACTGTTAAGAGCCCTTCTCTGGTCCTCTGCATACAATCTGTTTCACATGAGAAATGCACTTAACAGGGAAACACTGTAAGTGAAGGATTACAAAGGAAAATGAAGGGACAAAGGGAAGTGTGTTATTTTGTTTTGGGTTTTTTCCCCTTCTTTTTTGGCAACATCTGAGAACAGCAATTAAAAATGTCCATGTAACTTCTTGTGATATATGGGGAATAAAGTGATCCTCGTAGGAAATTAAAAAGTACTCTCTGATTACATACTGATTCTGGACACAGTTTTAAATCACTTCTGTCTTTAGCTTGTGAATGAAAACCTGTTTGAGTGGTTAAGTTTTAAAATATCTGTGAATCCTGTCGCAGAACTAATTGAACTTGGTTTACTGTATCAGACTGTCATTCCCACTGCAAAATGGAAGGGAAGAAGTCCCCGTTTCTCATCCTGTTTTCTCAGCCTCCATCTTTTTTCTGAAAAGTCCATAAATTATTTTCTGCAGTGCTGCTGCAAGAACTTTCCTTTATGACCAAAAAAGACTTAGAATGTTTCTATATGGCTTTAGGTTGTTTGTTGGGGTTTTTTTCCCCATTCTGTTTGTTTCTTTGCTTATGTGGAAAATATGTACATGTATGTTTTTCATCTGGCCCACTTTCCCTATCCACCTTATTTCCATTTCACTTTTTCAAGTTCCATGATACATTTCAGTGACTTTTAAATTCCAGATTGCTACTGGTCGTTTATGAAACAACTGAAAAAAAAAATATGTTTAAAACACTAAATACAAATTTATTTTTCTGAGGAAGGGTATGCATTTAGCTTGAGTTCAGGATGCACCATTCTATGTATCTAGTCTGCGTTGTGCGTACTGTGTTCCATGGAACATAACTTCTTCATCAGGCCTTTGATCCCTGCTGTATAGTATGGCTTCTCTCTTAGGAGCTCTTTCTGTACACTGGTTCAGTTTTTCACTATCCTTTTGAACTGTGGTTGCCAGAGATGGACCCAGTATGCCTTGAATAATCTCCCCAATCCCACATTGCTTCTCTATATATGTGCGGTGTTCCCTGTGTATATGCTGAATCCTTATTTATACCCCCTCACAATCCCTACAGCACAGAGCTGGGTGCTGGCAGTTTATCTGCTCGCAGTTCTGCTGACAGCTGTGATCTACTGATAGCTTTTTTTTGGTTGTGGTTTCCTAGATGAGTTTATCTTTAGGGGCTGGTCTACACAGTGTATTCTAAGAAGTGTAACTTTCCATGTGACTGTGTGAATCTGCTTGTTGACTTTAATGAGCTGAGTTTACCTAGTAATGGGGTTCTGTCTGTCTTAGGTTTTGTCGCCTGTTGCTCTTCCACAAATGATGCAACCTGTGGTTGTATATTTTCCTCTGGAATCCTAATGAAGGAATTGAATTTACTAATAAGGAAATTTTAAAACCAAGTAATGTAGAAACTTAATAGAAATACTACTACTTCATGACATTTGTCCACTGACTCATGTAATTTTTCAGTTTTTAATCATTTGTAAAATTAAGGTAGCCCACCAGTATGGTGCTTTGTTTTGAAAATAATACTGTCCTGTGGGCATAAGTGGAGTGACATAGGGAAACACAAAGTTATTAGATCAGTGTGTTACCTTCATCAGCAAACATCATCAAAACTGCATCAAAAAGCAGTGACAATGGATTTTTACTCAGTTTTATAACAAATGCTAAAGAGTAATGTTTAAACATGAATACTGAAAAATACTAAAACTTGATCCTGCCGTTAAAGCCCTTGCCACCCCCACTTTCCTGCATCCCTGAAGATTACCCAGGTGTGGCTCTCGCTGTTTGTTTCATCTCTGACAGTATGAACTAACCCTAGCGCATGTCATTTTTCTTATCATTGACATGATCATTTGGCTTGACTTTCAAATGTGGGTTTCAAGAATGGTGAGAACCTCTGAAAATCAGGGCTGGTAACCTAGGATATGGAGCTTTGAAATAGGTAAGACTTCTTTTCCATTTGCTACAATCAAGGATAGTAGTAGATGTAACAGCGCTGTTACACCAGGTAAGCATTATTTGCTCTTAGCTCCACCTGTTGCAGTTAATGGTAGGTTTCTTGATGCCAGTGAAGACATCAGAGAACCCTCCTAATGTTAATTGTTCTGTATCTTTGAAGAGTCTTAACTGGATGAAATATTACTGTATTAATATTAAAGGAAGAGCACTAAGAAACTCCATTTAGGCTGCGGTACTGAAGGAAGGGAAAGTCACAAGCCATAGAGTTTGTATCTGGAAGCTGGTTTACAAAGTAGCCCTTGTACTACCTAAATATGTGCCAATTCTTGTTATATGTTTTGTCTAGCTTATGCTGTTAGCTTATCAAGGCAGGGAATGTGCTTTTTTTACTGTGTCGGTCTCATCTTTCATACTCTGTCATAGCTAGCCTCATTTCAGACAGTTAAGAAATGCAATTTAAAACTTGCAAAATCAGGGCAACTTCTCTTAAACACACTGAGTTAAAATGTATGACTCCATAAGCAGTATAAGCAGATTGTTTATCCCAGCCAGGTGTCAGCTCTATCTTAAGATTATTGTGCTTTCATTGCTACATAGGCAACAACACTGCACTGGGATTCAGCTCACTCTTTAGGTGCCTCTAAAGTGTAAGCATAGTAATTCTGCTCATGATTCAGAGATAAGGAGAAAAAAAAATACAGTATGGATTCCAAGTGCCTGGTTTGGACTCTCATAAGTAGTTTAGCGGCTTTTTTTGGTTTATAAATTTCTGTATTGGCTAAATTAATGTTACCAAATTGAAATGCGTTTAACAATGGAAGACAGGTTAAAATGATTGAGTCAGCACATGGTAACACTGATTTTATTTCTTTTCAGAGTGTTTCTTTAACATAGATTACTTATTGCACTTAAGACTGTTAAAAAAAGTTTATCACAAATATAAGAAACTTTCAGGAGCACAGAAGCAGCAAGATACATCATTATTCCTAGAAGTGAGTGGCAATAGGGTATTTGACGTCTTTTTATGCAACTGAAAAATCAGCATTGATAGGATTTTTTTAGAACGAACAAATAATATTCTCTGCCTTCTACAAACTGAGTACTAATTTTAAAAATTAATTTGTTTCACTAGTGTCTTGACTTTAGGGGGGCTAATTGCATAAGCAGGCCACTTGTGAGATTGGTCGTGATCATTGCAATATAAGCACTCTTCAAAAATTCCATCGGTACTCTTGTATAAAATCTGCACATATAAATGTGAACATTGTTTTGAAATTAGAACAGACATTGGTATTTCAAGTTACCAATAATACTAATATATTTGATGTATAACAGCTGGGTCTTATCTGGGAGTATGTACACACTCCTTTGTGTAATTCATATTTGCAAACTCATTTTCATAAAGTTGATCTAGTCTCTTGATTTAAAAAACTGTAAGCTGTTGGATATTCTCTAATTCTGGGAGTTTCAGATAGGAAGGAAAAACGACCAGTTTCTTCATTTGTTTTTGTATCCCACTGAGGAGGAGCTAAGTGTCTCTCGAAGATGACATGAATGCAGTGAAGATTTTGTTCTGCAATGAACAAAAGCAGGGTGGGACAGTTTACCCATACTCTGTATTCCCCCTGCTTTCTCTCATGAGCAGTGCATATAATTAGAGCTTAAAATAATTAAAAAATTTAAAAAAAGTGTGGCAAAATGATCCTGTTACTGGAATCAACATTTCTTTTACCTGCATACTGCATAGTGCATGGAATACATGCAAACAAAATGTGGGATAGATAATGGAGGCTTTCCTTCAGGGTCTGGTTTTGTAGGTCGATTCAAAGCTCTCCACCACCCACATTAAAGCTCATGCCAAATATTTCAGTTGTTTAGAGTGAGCTGTCCTCCAGAAATTTGTATTTCTCTAATTGTGTCCAGGTGCATGAAACTTGTCCAAAGCTTTTGCTTGCATAACTAGTTCAAGTAATAATACAAAAAATGGTAGTATTTATTTGTGTGATTTACAACACAGTAGTCTGTGGGCGCATGGGATTAGCTTTTTGCTCAGCTGGGCTGAGTATAGTCTGAGCCACACATAGCTAATTCTTCCACCAGGCAATGTGAAAACAAGGAAACAATAAATGGAAGTGTAATGTTAAAGCCTCTTCAGCTGGCAGTTTGTGATAAATATTTCTAACTGTCTGTAGAAATCATTGACAGGAAAAAGATATTCCCCCATAATTAGCTCTTTCTCTCCCAATGAACAGAACCCTTCAGGGATCTCAAGTGTAAGGTAAAACTAAAACAGATTTCTTTGTCTAGAGAAGAAAAATATTATTTTAATTGTATCATTTTAATTTCATTATGTTGTTTGGCATCTAAAGGATATATTGATCCAGATGACATTCCCTATTACGTGATAGATAATACCATGAGAAGATGTATATTTTTGTCCAGACTGTTTTGTAAAATTAAACCCAAAAGAATCGAGTCCCTGAATCTCCCGATAATCTGGAAAGTTAGGCTTTCCTATGTAATCTCTACAGTAATACATATGCATGTGGTGTAGCCATTGTGCATTATGTGTTTCTCTGCATACATGGTAGTATTCCTGTTTTCTGTATAGCCTTACTTATGTGCTTTACCAAGGACTGGACAATCTGTCCCTGCAATTAGTTTCTTAGGTCCAAAAGTATCAAATGACTGCTCAAACTTGATAACCAAGCGCAAAAATCCTACTATACATCAAAGCAATGAGTTGTTTCACTTCCTAGGTTCTATAGAGAACTCAGCATCTGCTTCATGTTGTGGTTTTCTTTTGTGGTTCTGAAGGGAAACTTGACTTTTAGCATTACAAAAAAACCTTTATCCACTGTATGGCCTGGCTAATTAGTCACATTTTAAGGCCCATGGATAATTGCCAGATGAGTAGACATTGGGTTCATAAGTCGGACGGAATGTTCTTGCTAATGTGCCTCAAGGAGAAAGATGGTGTTTTCCAGCTTCTGTTTATGGTGCTTCAGTGTAGGAAACTGCAGCTGTTTGTTCTGTTTGAGACTAGACAGTGAAAGATAAAATGACATGAGCTTGAGGCAAATGTGTCATATTTACATAGGGCAGACTGTTCCTCAAGGTGCACCAAAGGCATATACCTTCAAGGTTTGTAACAGTACCATGTTCCTCCAGTGGTAAGAATTCTCACATTATAAGTGGTCAGCCTACATAAACTGTTAATGGAATATAGGGAATATAGTTATTAGTTAAAACAGAAACATTCACTGGTCTGTATTTTTCTTCACAGAATTGGAAAAGACCAAATGTCAGCGTGAACGAGAAGGAGCTCTTGGAAGTGGAGGCACCTTCTTCCCAAGGGAGATAAGAGTCGGTCACTTTGTTCCCCAGTGTGATGAACATGGGAATTACCTGCCCACTCAGTGCCACTCTAGCAGTGGGTATTGTTGGTGTGTGGATAGGGACGGAAATGAGATTGATGGCACCAGAAGCGGCCCAGGAGTTCGACCACCATGTAAGTGGCTGAAGCGCTTGTTTCTTCTGGATGTCTGTCCACCCAAGTGCACTGTTTCCCAAAGTGGGGCTTAGTCATGCCCCTGAGATACAGTACTGACTTGAAGCAATGCGGATCTTTGCTGTCCCAGTGACAATATGTCTCGTGCTGCAGCCCTTTGGTAACTCCAGCATATACTTTTAATTCAGCCAGGGCATCTGGACAGCTGTGGTGAGCCTCTGAATAAGAAGATGGTTTTCTAACTTCTTCCCTGCCTTGAAACTGAGGGGCCCCTATAGTTTCTGCCCTCTGGGAGCTGTGGCAAATGTGAATGTGTGGTAACTGACTTGCCTCAGGAAATGAAGGATGCTCCTTCCTACATCTTTCTAACTTCAGCTGCAAAATAATATGGGTTTTTCTAAACATTTCAAGGAAAGAGCAATTACAGAGCCGAACATGAAAAGACAAATTAAGTCAATTGCTCCTTCTCTGTCAGCCAAGGGGAAAAATTCAGAAGCTTTCTGCATCTGATTACAGTTATTAGCATCAGCTTACAGGGCTGTTTCTTTCTAGGAAGTCTGACTGTAACTGTGTCCCTGCAAATAACAAGGAGCCTTGTTATGCTGTACAAGCTAATTTTTTCCCCATCTGTTTCCTTCTCTGTTAACAAGGTCTGAGCACAGCTGCTCCTCCTATTGTTATTGGGCCCTCCGTTCGACCAGATACAGTACCTCTGCCGCCAGGAACGCACTTGCTCTTTGCCCAAAGTGGTAAAATTGAACATGTTCCACTAGAGGGAAACAGTATGAAGAAAAATGGTGCAAAAGCACTCTTGCATATTCCCGTAAGTAACCTGCCATACTAAGTCCGTGTGTTTTAGAAGACTTGTGATAAAGACGAAAGTGAGAGTGTTTGTCTATGTAATTTGGTAATTTAAGTTCCAAACTCCATTTTTACTCTTGATCAAAGTTTTGGTATCCCATCGCTTTGTCACTGAAAATTTCTGATCTGACTAGTCAAAAAGCCTAAAACTGAGCTATAGAAAAAAAAAATTGCCTTTAAAGGATAGCTCATGAGACAAAAGTCTAATATTTGTGATCTCACGTGCCTCCAACAGCTCATCATATAAACTTTCAGACACTCGCACTTCATTGGCTCTCTGACTCTGATATAAAAGTCTAGGAGACCTACAAGAAAAGTATGTGTAGAGGCCTTTTTTTTTCCTCTCTTACTTCCTCAAAGTTTTTTCCTAAGTCTTGATGCCTTCCTGTGTTTCAGTCAATTCTCTGCACTTCTTGGCTACAGATATATATAGATTATTATTTTTTCTTCTTTTTTGCTTCCTTCTCCATGTGCAGGCCCAGTGGGTGGTAAATCTTTTTCCCACACTTCTTACTACTGTCTTGAGAATCTTTTCTCTCTGAAAATTAATCCCTGATGCTGAGAACCTCTCTCTTCCATCACCTGTGACACATGCCAGCTCTCCTTGCTTCCAGTTTCATCACATTCATTTGTTTTGCCCTAAGTCTGGGATTTCTGTTTTCATTCCAATGTTACTGTATTTATAATAGATAACAATACCAGATAGGATGCTGGCCTCTTTTTTTACATAACTGTGAATATTTAGTAGACCAAACATTGACTAAATTACACAGATTCAGTTTAGTAAATAGTACCACAAACTGTGCTGAGGGCAAAATCAAGCTTTTGTCTCTTGTCTAAAGTGCTGCTGCAATAATGTAAAAATAAAGTAAAATACTGGGTGCAAAATGGGGTAGTTAGGCTGATATGGAGACATGATTCTGAATCCTTGTCAGCTAGTCTCATTATTTACTTGATCTAGCTGAAACGAATTAATTAGAAGTATCTTCAGGCAAGAGCTTCCAAGAGGTAAGATGCAACTCTTGGTTAAAACTTTCAATTACATTGAAACTTTCGGTCTCTGCTAACAGTGTTGTCTCTGCTTGTGTTGTCTCAGTGTTGTGTATCTGCAAAGTGACAGTGTTTAGCAGCACAGAGGTTCAGATTCTTTTGTATCCTACAACATTAATGCACGGTGATGAATGAGTGCATCTACTTTAAGGCATGGTTTTGGACCACCTTTCTAAGAAGCTGCAAGTTACAAAAGCAGCAAAGGCGATAGATCTGGGAATCCATGTGAAATTATTGTTTTACCCAGAAAGTGTCTTTCATTTGCCTAGAGGAAAGAATTTTAACTCTAAACTCAAACCCTAGTCCTATCTTCTTCTGCCTGGGAAATTGCATATATACGTTCCTTGTCCCTGAGCATATTCTTTCTAGCAGAATGATTTATGGATTATTTGTTTAAGCTATTTTTTATTTGGAAAACTTACTTTACTAGGACTTTTTTGAGTGAAATGATGCTATGTAGATAGCACTGCTGAAATGCAGCCATCATGCATGGGTTGATGAATATGCAGAACACAAGTCAGATTTGATAGAAGTCATTATTCCTCCTTGAAGGGAAAGCATGAGAGAAAAAAGCACATGAGGAATAACACAGTAAAATAACAACATGAGCTTTCTTTAAGTGAATATGTGGGGGAAGTTGCAGAAGTGAGACATATTGTTCAGTAGTATTATCTACAGTGCTTCTTTGAAATACGATAATTGTAAATGGTGTCTGCTAGTTAAAAGGGACTTATAATGGAAAATATTTTTCCAAGCTATTCTACAATGACTGCCACCCAACTGTTTTCTCTGCCTATCTTCTGCATTTCCTACCTTTCTTCAAGAGTTTTGTTTTTTCAGGCTTGAGACTTAGATCCATAAGCTAGTGCTGCTGGCAAATAATTGTTGTTTAGCATAAGCTGATGTAACTTACTTGTTGACCAACAGGACAAAGTTGTTATTGGAGTTGCTTATGATTGCACAGACAAGATGGTTTATTGGACAGACATCAGTGGCCCTTCAATCAGCAGGGCTAGCCTGCATGGTGGGGAGCCAACAACCATCATCAAAACAGGTAAGAGCAAAAAAAAATTCTTCCTCTTGCTACTCCCTAGGAATGGCATTAGAGACTTGAATTTAGTAATATTTACTTCCCAGGTGTTGCCTGACCTTTAGCATTATAAGTTGGTGTTATTTGGATAAACAATAACCAAAAAGTCTGGATAACATAAAATGAAAAAAGATCTGTTCCCCATGCAATAGCTGTTCACTGCCTTTCCACTGCTAAGATAGGCAAAAAGTCGGTTTTCTTTAAATAAACTAAGTTTAAGGCCAGAAGTGGGAGCAGCCTGTCAGTGAGATGTTTCTGTCCTTACTTGCAGTTGCAGGATACTGTATCTGCCTAACCATTGAACGTGTTGTGAACATCATTGGGGATATTTTAATTGAAGGCTGAGGGATTTGAAAGATGAATCTAGCTGCTGTGGTGCTTTTAAAGCATATCTCAAGGTGCTAATGGGTGCAGGTTCAGATCCTCGCAGCCAGGGCTGTGTGTCAGCTCCTCACAAAAATGTTTAGAGGATTTCTGTAGCCAGTTACAGTCCTAGGCTGTGCTTAGATTCTTGCTGTGCTTAACAAAGCAAAAAAACCCACAACCCTCCTTCGGGTGCTATGTCACTTCTGGGGAGGAATCTTAAGGTAGGCTTGAGGCCTTTACTGCTCTCTTCCCACGGTGGCATCCTTAGGGCTGCCACGATAGTGGGGCAGCACAGCTAGTACTCTCAGGGCAAATTCCTAGGTCATGATATCCCAGATTTTTAAAGCGCGCTCAAGACCTCACTTTCCTATGTTGAGGATTGGCTGTGCTGTGTTCTGCCCAACTTGGCAGCCTTGTGTGGCCCACCTCTTTTAGAGTCATGTCAACCGTACTGATGAGAAATGGTGGTCCAGCATCCTTCCTGAAAGTCTCATGTCCCTGGCCATGAGGAATGGAACACATAAGCAGGCTAAGCTTAGACTGCCGTAGATAGATGTTATTCATGCTTACAATGATGCAATGGCTACAAGATGTAAATATGTGAAGGAGGAAGGTTATCATTAAAACCTAGGTCATGTGCTGTGGTAGACCCAATGTTGTTCAATGTATTTATGATCTGAAAAGGGGATGATGGATTGTCAGTTTGCTGTTGAACGGATATTGAACACAAACACAACTAAAGCAGACTAAAGAGTTGCATTTATATGTTCACATGGAATATCATCTCTTGGTATCACTTTTTGATTTTTGTTCTGGTAAGTAAGGTAGGTAATCCACTGGCTAGCTGAGATTCGGTTGTGTGTAGTCCTTTTCTTTCCTGCTCTCTGCCTGTCAGCTGCCTGCTCTGCTGAGAAAGGACTGGTGAGCAAGGAGGTAGAAGAGGAGATCCCCTGGTCTCTGTTCCTGGGCTTAGGGATCAAACAGCTGAACAGTGGTTAAAAACTGTTTCAGCTGTGACTTTCCATGACTCCCACTCAAGTTGTAAAATAAAAGTGAGTAAAGCCACCTTGTTCAGTTTTTGCCCTTGGAGTTGCTTAAGGATTCAAGAATTGGACTAGAGGGTGTTGTGGGATTAGTGCTTTTACAGTTTATGTCCTGTTCTTATACTTCCCCCAAGACTCTGCTGCTCACTGCAGTCCATGTTCGTTTTCATTAGAAGGGTAAGTGTAAGCCCATGCATCTTATGAAAACCTTTCTTAAATTGAAAGGGTTAAGAGGAAGGACAGGTTTGGAGAACAAAGTGAATGTAGGGGCATTAAAAAAACCAACAAAAATAGTTGGAGGCATTTTTTCAATACCAGTATCCTCAGGTTCCTAGAACACCTGTGAAGTCAAGATACTGGAGGAGGTTGCCCTTGCTATGGATCCTTTGCAGCTGTTGTCATAAAAATTTATGAAGTTATTTTAGCAAGATGATCAACACCTTTTAAAACTCTGCAATAAATTTTCTTTCGTTTTCTTTGGATGTGTTGAGTATCTCTACCTGAAGTTTGTGCTTTGGAATAGCCAGTTTGCTGGGACTCCATTCAGGCTCTTAGGGGCAGCAGAGAGTTGGGGTGGCTTGGATCCTACCATTGTCCTGGGAGGGGAAAAGGGAGAGCTTAAGGCCATCCCTAACCATTACAGCAATTATGGAGCTTCATATTTCTGTACAACTTGATGGCTGAGATATTTGTAAGACTTCTTTTTCATCCCAACATACTTAATCTGAAAGGGACTCAAACCTGTAGTACAAGCACATGCCTATACAACTACAAATTCTGTGGGGAAAGGATTTTCAATTTCTAATACTAAAGTCTTTTCTCAGATTCTGCAGTTTAAAAAGTGAGGTGAATTACTATTGCTAAAAATTTTATATGGATATGAATTAGTCTCTCTAAAGAGAGTGTGTGTGCACGCGTTACAGTGTATAAAAATATTTTGGAAATATTTCTGAAGGCTTTCAACTAAATTTGTTTATTTTAGGTAATTCAAGATGTTTCAATGCCACATGGAAACCTCATGGGTTTTATCTGCTACAAAAAAACATTGTATGTGTGAAGGCATCTCATGATTTCTGTTGTCCTGTTGATTGCATAGGAAGTGAATGCCATTCCTGAAGAGATGTTGAGTGATACTGCACTTTACTTTCTGTATATTAATTGGCTCTTCAACAAGGATTCAGAACAAAATAAGGTTGAATATTCTATATTTGAATGTATGGATGTCTTCTATGCTGACCAAAACTGAAACTTTAAAACTTCACGAAATAGGAAAATGACCCCCTCTGAAGACTCATGAGAATTCTTTGTTTTGTTTTGATCTTTGCCTTTTTCCTCCTGTGGGCTGCAGCTGCTTTCTTCAGTTCACATGTATTTTTGTGGAACGCACTACTTTTTTGTTTGTTAAAGCCCTTGTGATCCAAGTCGCGTTGCTTTGCAGAAACATGTTGTATTGTGGAGCACTATCCGGTTCTCATCTGCCCCTGCAGCTGTACAGCCTGAGTAGGCTTTCTGAGCTCTGCAGCTGTGGAGGCAGGTTGGGAAGGGAGAGCTTCCCTCTTTGCTGTAGTGGCTTAAGTCATATCAGCCGTACATGTCTGTACAAGCCTGTCCCCAGGGACAGAGCCTGTGACTGTATCAGGACTGATGATTATATAGCAGGGACACATTTGTGCCTTTGGAAAGACTGGTGATACATGAAGCCTATATATTCCCTTACCCCTCCATGGGGGATAGTTTTTTTCTGGCTCATTGTCAACGAGACAGGAAAGATGTTTACTTTAGACTTCTTTAAATCTCCCGACGTATAGCTGAAGCAAGGAAACAGAAGCAAGGAAACTAGTCAGGGAACAAGGGCTCCTGGGAATCAGTGGCAGCAGATCTTTTTCCTGCTACCACCTTCTTTTTCCTAAAAGAGTCTGGGAGCTCCCCTACCACCATTTAGTTGGTGATTTTCTGATCCCAGAGATGGGCAGCTGTCACCACCATCACCTCAAAATGAGGCCAGTCTCAGCAGCCTCTGCCATTAGCAAGAAAAGTAGAAGGAACATTTGAGGGTCTGAGGTAAATGTGAGGTAGTATCTTGCAGATGCCCGGTTTAGCTCCACAGGGGCACTTGGAGAAATACAAGCAGTAATGTGAAGTCAGTGTAACTAAGTTAAAGTATGCCCACATGCCCTTTGGAAGAGTAAAGAGATAACTAATTCACATCTACTTTCTTGCCCCCCTCCCTGCGTATGAGCTATGAGTCAGAAGCAGTGAGATACAGCTTATTAGTTCTTTTTTGCCCCTTCATCAATGAATATACATCCAAGATTTCAGGTGTCCAGGTTACGTGTGGTAAGTGTCACCTCTGGGACAGAGCAGAGGCTGTTTAGGCTATTGTGCAGCTATTATTCATAGAAAATTTTAGACAAATTTTAGTAGCAAATTTTAGACAGCTCTACCCAGTGTTCTGGAGCAAATGCCTTTTCTTCAGAAAGGTTGTGTGTGTCACATACTGTTTGTTTAATGCCTGTCAGTAAATAAACTTGAGAATTAATAGAAGGCTAATGGGCTACATTCCATCATTCTTGGATGTTTACAAGGTGTGTGGATCTGCATTTGAAAGGGGTGGTTTTGATTTTTTTGTTTGTTTGTTTTGTTTTTTCAACAGCTGGCTGGTATGAAGGCTCACTTCACCTCTTTTTGGGAGTGATGACGTACAATTCTTGTTTTCTTTTGGAACTTAAATTGGACTAAAATTGATTTGTACCTGTCTTTGGCTTTACTACATCCCACACAGCCTGCCTGCTCTTTTCCAATGGATGTATGAACCTTAAAAAGTATAGAGCAGTTTTTATATTTTATTCTGAATCCTTCATTTGAGTTAGAAATTACTAATGCTAAAGCAGTAAGGTCATTATCTGCTATTTCCTGTTGCTTTTGGAACAACTGACTGTCCAAGAAAAACTGTGCACATACAGTACAAAAACATGTTCCAAAAAGGATTGCTCTGCAAAAACAAAGAACTGGATTTAAATTCCATCAGTTAGCTAATATCATTATCTCTACTGCTTTGGAGCTTGATTATCTTTAAGTATTGCATTGGCTAAACTTCACATAAATCTACTTTTAGAGGAGTGCCAAGTGTGCCAGTACCAATGAAGGGGAAATATTAAGCATTATAAAATCCATTCTAGATCTTGGCCTGCTAAGGAGAGTAGAATAAGATTCTGATAATCTCTACTGTTTATTTCTCTGCTCTCAACTATTTTTCTGTGTCCACTGCCCAAGGAAAGCTTACATGCATGAGTTGCTTCCTCATAGAATTTGTCATTCTATGTGTTTATGAAATTTCTGTTTATTTAAAATTCATAAGGCAAAATGCATATTTCTCTTCCAGCTGAAATAAAGGAGCTTTTGTTGGACCATGGCCAGAAAACTGAAGAAAACTTGTCTCAGCTAAGAGTTATGCTTCTGAGGCTGACATTATGTATTGGGAATAAATATAATGCCTAGGCATGTTTTTTTCTATTCTCCTGCAGACTTGGGAAGCCCTGAAGGGATAGCTGTAGATCATCTCGGTCGCAACATCTTCTGGACTGACTCCCAACTGGATAGAATAGAAGTGGCTAGGCTGGATGGGCGCCAGCGTCGCATCCTTTTTGACACTGGCCTGGTGAACCCCAGAGCAATTGTTGTGGATCCTATGAGAGGGTATGGATACGTTGTTAAGAAATACATTATCTTATTTACTTATTTAATATGAGTGTATACTCTGAGTCCATGTTTTTAGGCTGTCTGTAGACAATAATAGGACTATCTTTTCCTAAAACTAACAAACAGAAATGGAAGAATCTACTTGAGTCCTGTGTCTGAATGGTGCATGAGAAATAAAACTTCTAAAATGCCTGCTAGGTAATACGGTGAGATTTTGTTGAAAGGTTTGTCCACTACTTTTTTGTACCTTGGTACATCATTTGCAGAATGGCAAGCGTTGCCCTTACCTAAACTTTTTTTTTTTTTTTCAAGATTACTGGTCTAAAATACTAGAATAAGCAATTTTGTATTTTCATTTCCACCATGACAGCCCTTCTTCCTATACAGTGTTCCTTCTTTGAAGACTCCCATGGTGTCCCTTCTGTCATTGTTTTAACTTCTGTCATTCAGTTGCCTGATAAAGTCCTATTAGGCTTCTATTTGAAGATGCAGATAACTACATACTTTAAAAATGGAGCCTGTAAGCTGCAGTCACAGAAATACCCAAGCAGAGTGTCAGTAGGAAAGTGTAAATGTTTTCAAGTTAAGGCTTCAGCCTGCAAAGATGGAAGTATTTACATACTTTTATGTAGTCTCTGAACTGTTGATGTTTTTTTCTCTCTGAATATTGGAAGAAATATAGGGAAAATTAAATCCACTACAGAGCCCATGGTAGTACTGTATGTCTGTTCATTAACATCTGAACTTGCCTGCTGTTGTCCTGGTGCAACTTTCTGTAGTGTGGCCACTGCTGAGAAGAGACATTTCAGTCAAAATACTCAGAAGCACAGAAGCAAAGAGGTTTTCTTTTCGGTCTTGAATTGCTGGGAGGCTCTACTAAATGATCGCTTAGTTGATATAACAGGCATTTGGAATGTTCTTAGGTGAGAATTCATTTATGAACAAAGGTAGTATATTGTTCAGGGAGAGTTTTTTGGAAGATGCATCCTCATTCCAGATGTTTGCAAACAAGTTTTGTAGTGAGAAAAGAATGCACGTTATACATGAAAATTTGGGTGATACAAAATCAAATGAAAATGTAATGGTATTGACTTCCCTAATTCCTTTAACATAAAACAAACTTTTTACATAATCATCACATAACAGTGGGGTGAAAACATCTGTGGATGTGCATCAAGTGACACCATAATAAGGAAAAACGAATGTACTTTGTGGTGAGGGAGAAGGGGAGAGGCACAAGTGTAATCAGACTGAGGGGAGACCTCTGTTCCATGCAGAACCCCACTGATGGAGAAGGGCTCTGAATTCAGGTCAAGCAGCACAAACTTACGTCACTTAGTAGGTTGTGTGTGTTGAGGAGTAAACAACAAAGGTACTTGCATTGAGGGGACATGTAAATTCTCATCCACAGAAAGTGCATCCAAGGGAAAAAAAAAAACCCTAACAAATGACCATTAATAATAAAGCATCAGGGAATTAATGGCCTTCTCTGGGGCTCTCCCCGACCATAAACTACTCTGATTCCATTGTATATTGCTTACTTGGTGCACTGAAAAGAATAATGTAGTTTTGAATGAAACCCACAAATGTATGCCAAATGCTCCTGCTGCTTAGCCCGAGAAGACACGATGGGTGGTGAGGAGGAGAACTGCAGATGTACATTCTGAACAGTCCTCAGAACTGTTGAAATTGAGGTCTTTTTGCCTGGCATCTTGTACATAAGCTAAATAATGTAGAGAAAGCATTTCTTCTTGTGTGTGTGCTTGCTCTTTTTGTTTTTAATGGACTTGTAACATATGCTACATCTTTACTATGTTTTTGTTACTTCTGTATTGAAGTGTGAAGTGGTCCTTCTTATTTATTTAAATGATTTAGGGTGTGCGCATGTTACTTTTGTGTCCTTAGCATCTTCCTTAATTACAGCAGTCTCTTGAGATCAGTCACTGTCTTAATTCTTGCGTTTTTCTTCCTCTTAAGAAACTTGTACTGGACTGACTGGAACAGAGAAGCTCCTAAAATTGAAACCTCATACATGGATGGCACAAACAGAAGAATTCTTGTTAAAGATGATCTTGGGTTACCAAATGGACTGACATTTGATCCTTATTCCTCAATGCTGTGCTGGGTAGATGCAGGTAAGGAGGTGCTAAAATCTTTCTTCATAATAATAGTAGACTAAGTATGTCCAATCCTCAAATTATGCATAGCCAATTAGTGTTTATAGCTCTGTAGCCTGCACCTTAGACTTTATGCCTTTCTTTTTGGCTTTAATAATCTCTTAATTTATTCATCGTTACTACCACTGTAGCATTCACATGAGACTGTGTGCAAGCTGAAAGATTCCAATTTTGATCACAAAACTTTCTAGGAGTGCAACAGGTTGTATCTGTGTGTCTTGTATGTGGCTATCGATTTAGGTAGTGCTTAGGCTTTTGTAGAAGAAGTTGTGTGTTTAAGACCAGGAAAAATCACTGATCCATCTAATCTGGCTCTAAGGAATGTCACTCTGGCACTATTGTTCTAAGGCCTGTAACCTTTGGCAAAGTCTGGCTTATGTTTGACTGAAGCAAGTCTTGAAAAAGCAATTCAGGCTAGATTTAAAGATCAAGAAATGAAGGCTCTGCCACCAGCCCATTGTCAGTTCTGTGCCAGTGTCTTACCAGTAAAAAAAGGATTGCTTTTAATTCTCATTTGAACTTTTTTTTTTGTTTTTGCATCTTGCTGTCTTTGTCTCTGTAGACTGCCAGAGATCTCCTCCTGTGGAGGTGCTTTTACACTTCAAGTCACCTTTTTGATAAACTAAAAAGATCGAGCTCTCTTTTTCACTGTAAGACGCTTTCTGCAACCTTCAAATATATCTCCTTGTGCTATCTTTCTTTTCCTTTTCTCTTTTCCTCTCTTGTTCTTGCATTTGTCTCTTTTCCTTTTCCCGAATTTTGATACCTACTACTTAAGAGAAACCTACAGGTGTTTACATTCACTAGCAGTGTTCTCAACGCATGTAGTAGCTTTACAGCTAGAACTTTTTACACCCTATCTGTACCTACAAGTTAGATGTTCTTCCTGCAGTCTTGCCTTCATGGCCCAACCCAGCAAGAATTTTGTGAATGTGCTAACCAAACTAACTTTGCAGAAATGCTTTCCAGAGGAAGTGGAACTGGTTAGTGGTTGAAGTATCCCTCTGGAATGGAGGAGACCTTCTGTCAGCTTCCACACCAGCCTGAGGATGCTGGTCCCTGTAGCAGGAATTTCAGCTTGTGAGCAATGGCCGTGGCTGCACTAGGCATCTGTTAAGTTAGGTGGTGTGCTGATTAGCATTAGCACGAAAGTAATTTTCCATCCAATCTTTGGCACACGAAGTGCTGTGGCATGGGGAGGGCTTTGGCTAAGCATCATACTGAAAGACTTCCAGGAAGTTTTACTCTGTTCATGCTTGCATGCTTACGCTCATCCTTCATCCCTCATGAGAACTCTCTTGCTCTGGTTCAAAGACTTAATTGTTTCACTACACCCAGGTACCAAGAGGCTGGAATGCATGAATCCTAATCAGCTTGGTCGACGAAAGATTGTCGAAGGAATTCAGTATCCCTTTAGTGTTACAAGCTATGGGAAGAATTTATACTACACAGACTGGAGAAGGTATGTTATCTGCTAAAGAAATTATGGACTGCTTTAGTTTGTTGTTCTCCCTGGTAGAAAATGAAGTATATACTGCATTTCTCATGTCTGACCTGTCACACATGCCTGGTTTTTTTTCTTTCCTGACAATAGCTGATGCAGGGTGGAGTGGATCTGTAGAGCTGACCTATTGATGTTGCCAGTTAAATGAGTTTTCATTTTCAGCATAATGATTTGTCCTCTAAGAAAATGCTTTTAACACTGAACATTTTGGGGAAAGGAGTGGGAGCTAACATGTTTCCCGTATGGCTGTACTTGCTGTGTTGTAGAGGGCAGAAATTAGTCACTCACGGCTTTCTCTGCCCTATGTTATTTGAATGTTCAACAAGAAATAAGAAAAAAAATTTTTTTTACTATCTTTGTTGCAAAAGATCTAAAACACTGACATATGATCAAGCCTTTAGGGTTTCTTATATTTTCCAGAAAAAAATCCAGTCTGTGCATTTCTAAATATTTATTTTTCCTTGGTGTAAATGGTTATATGCGCTCTATCTGCAAACTGTTACACAGACTCCATGAATTGCAGCAGGAAGAGCTATTAATGTGTGTAAAGATTTCCAATATAACATTTCCCAGCTGTTAGGTTCTATTCTAGAATAGGCTTGTATAAATGGGAAACAGTGTGTTACAGGTCTGTCAGTTGACTGCCCTTTTATGTTTAGGATGAAAAGATTCCTTATGATCAGTTGTATTCCTTCAGGCTCCACCTGAAATACAGCATTGTCCATAATTATTGTGCATAATAGCTGCAATATCAGCTATAGCACAGAAAACATCAGAGGGGCAGAATATGGAGAATGTGTCAAAACTACTAACAGATGTGTTCCTTTAGAGGGACATTGCCCTGTGTGGGAACTAGCTTCAAAATTCAGAAGGTGGCTCCCTGCTAAATTTCTTAGCTGCCTAGAATGAAGCTTATGATATTTTTGGGTTGTCAAGGAAAGATGACGTCTTGGAGGATTTTGCTTCTGGCATTGCTTCCTTATTGTAAAAAAGAAGCAAATTCAGACTTTTTCCCTTTTTTTTGTTTGTTTTATTTTCCCCTGTACTTCAACATTCATCTCACTTCTGTATATTCTCTTCTGCATATGTCAGGGATGCTGTTGTAGCAGTGGATCGCACAATTTCAATAGAAAAGGATAACTTCCAGCCTCACAAGCGCTCACGTCTCTATGGAATCACTACAGCCTTTGCTCAGTGCCCAGGAGGTAACCCAGATGATTCTCAAGTTTTTACAGCTGTGCAACACCTTAGTGTATAAATAAACTCAGTAGCAGCCCCCATTGACAGGCTGTCAACTGATCTAGGTAGTTAGTGAAGAACTGGTCAGTGCTTAGATTTCTGTTTGCTAAGAAATTAAAAGCCACCTAATATTTTTTTTTTTTTTTCATAAAAGTAGTTGTTGTGGTTGTGATATGAAACCAGAATAGGGAGGGAGGAAGGGGCCTGTTCTATCCTTTATGAAATAAGTATATGATCAAGATAAGGATCTGACATGGCAAAAGCTGCTATGTTGTCATCTTCTAAAATGAATGCCGTATTCATGGCTAGGGCCTTATTTACTTATTTTTAAATTTAAACTACAGAAATATGGTCTTCCAGATGTCCTTAATGAGATCCAGTGTTTTTTTAAAAAGGGAATGTTCAGAAAGCAGCAGGTGGTAGAGTGGCTGGGCTGGTCTTTCTGCTCCATTGAATGTTAAGTTTTTCAGATACATTATTGAAAATCCCCTCATGATGCTTAGAAGAGAGGAAGTTGATACCTTTGAAATAACAATTTGTGCTTTGGGGAGCAATATCACTGTTCAGTTATATTGAACTTAGCAAATCACAGTTAGGAGAAGAGTTCACTTTATTATTACAAAGTCACTGGAATTATAGGAGTTGTGGTGTTTTTATTTTAGGCCTAAAAATACCTTAAGATAGTTACTCTTCAAATTAGTCTATAGTAAAAAAATTAATTTATTATAATTGAAAGCTTGGTTTAGAGCTTAAAAATTCATGTAAATGTAGTAATTACGAAATCGGTTTTTGTTATTACTAGTTAATTCACAGTTCCATTTTGGTAGGCAGTATAAAGCAAAACAACATTGTGTGCTCTGAGAAAATTCTTATGTTTGTAATATTCAGAACCTTGGTATCATTTCTTTCTTATTGTGTATCTATTTCAAGTGTTTTGCGTTTTCTGGGACCGATGCCTTTCCCCTCAGATCCACTGATTCTGTCACTGTATTGTCTTTCATTTTACCTTTCAACATTAACGTGTTTCTCCCCACCCACCCAATTTTTTTGTTTTCATGGGTCATTCCTCCATGTCTTTGTAATGGGTGGTATCCAAGGATGATGTTCTGTAGCATTTTGGACTTTGTCCCCCGTGTTGCACTTTCTGTGTTTCCTCACTTACTATCTCTTCATTCTAATGTCTGTGACCACTTGGCCAATTTATGAAGGGCATTTTGGGAACAGCCCATTCTTTTCATGTTGCCTCTCTTTGTCTTGGTATCTCGATCTTTCTTGGAGGTGAATATCAGAAGCTGTCACAAGAGATATGATGACTTGTCTCCCCAAAGCACAGTTTTGTTTCACTCTCAATCTCATTATGGCTTTGTTTCTCTAGTGTGGTTGTGAAATCTGCACTTCTTTTGTATGTATGTGTGTTGTATTTTATTGTGGTTTTGCTTTTGTTTTTCTTTAACATTTTACATCTCTGTTCTTTTCCAGGACATAACTACTGTACAGTGAATAATGGTGGTTGTACTCACCTCTGCTTGGCTACCCCAGGAGGCCGTACTTGCCGCTGCCCTGACAACACAGTTGGAGTGGATTGTATAGAAAGAAACTGAGCATTAAAACAAGCTTTAGAGCAGCAGACACCTTTTGGAGATGTGCTGTAAACAATTCACTCCTAGCAACACAATCAGGTCCTAAAGATAAGTGCTCCATGCTGCTGACAGCAAGCCACAACGCACATATGCAAGCACACACACACAGAGGCAAGGACTGTTTTGTACCAGTTAGGCAACACAGAGCTGCCCACGTTGGGTCCAACTGCATTTTGTTCTTTGTAATATTATCTTGTTGATTTTAAAGGTAAATGTGGAGGCTTTAGGTGCACCTGTGCTGGGCTAGGAGGAAATGTTTCTTGGCAAAATTAAAGTAACAAATACCAAACGGAGTAAAGAGGATGGCATGACTCAGATCCTGAGACTGGGTTGTACCTTGGAACATGCAGCAGTTACTTGCATAGTGCCATGCTTAGCCCATCATATATGCGGCTAGGCCATACCTCTAACGGAGAAGCAACCAGAGAGTCCCAAGGATGAATAGATGTGGGTGGGAACACCCAGTAATATCACAGATTTAATGCCTAACTGTATTTCTTCCCACTACCAGTCCTTCCGCTTCCAAAACGTGAATCTCAACTTTTGACTCTTGTATTATGGAAATACTTTATCCATGTGCTGGGAGGGTAGTTCTCACCCTGGCTCATGTGATCCTTTCCCACAGCATGCAACTCTTTACAGATAATCAGCGCTGCTTAGTGGATGTATTTGAAGTTTTTGTTGGATTTTGAGATTTATTTTTCTTTGGTCTGAGGTGGATTCCTGAGTAGTTTCCTAAAATCCCCTAAACAAACTTTAGATGTAGATCTCAATTACTGATAGTTCATCAAAGAATGGATGTTGATTCATTTGGAGGTGTTTGGTTTTAGAGATACACGGTCACATCTGTTTCTATGTTTGAAACATAGGCCACCTGAAAGTGGTCTCTGAATCCTATCCTAGCCATCTTTCTTCTTTAGCAAACCATGCCATGCCTTTTCTTAGACAACGAGAGACCATGGCAGTTGAAAATCTGATTTCCAGAAAGCTCACCTGTGTCGTTGTGCTTAAAAGAAACAAGATGGTGGTGCCCCATTTCTGTGCCAGTGTTCAGTAACAGCAAAAAGGTGTGCTGAAAATCAAAGCAATAAGTTTTGGAGTGGGGAGAAAAAATCAAGGTGCATATTCTTACGTCAAATTAGCAGTACCAATCTAGGAGTGAAGTTTGGCTTCCACACTGTGTGTTGGGAAGGAAGCTTACCCACAAGCCAACCTGCAGCAGCAGAACAAAACAAGGCTTGTGAGCCTTCTGCCAGAACACATTTCACAATGTTGTGATCAGAGCAGTAAGCTAACATCCCCATTTCCTTACTCCCTCTTCAGACACTACAGAAACAGTTTTAAACAGAGCCAATTCTGAGTCTTAACTATGTGACATTTTCCTCTTTAATTGTATATTTATCATAAAATAACAAATCATATAAACATTTTAAAGATTTTTTTTATAACTTTTTATAACTTTTGATTCATTTTATTAATACACTTAATCAGGTATGTCTTACTGTAAATATCAAAAATGTGTTGAAATGAAGGTGCTTGATAACTCTTTCTCCAGAATTATTCACGTATCTGGTGAAATATTAAAGTTTACACTCTGTACAGGTATCTACAGTACAGTCAATAAAATCTTCTGGTTTTTATTTTCTATAAAAAAAGAAAGTTGTGCCTGCAGAAGGAAGTGATATATGGTGTCTCAAATCTGTTTTCCTGTTGAGTTCTGGGTTTGATTAACTCTCATATTTAGTGATGATATTTCTTTTCTAAGATCCAATGCTATAGGGGGGAAAAAACTGCTGTTGGGGCTTTTGTATTTTGAAATCGATACTTCTAGTCAAAACAAATATGTGAGAGCACTTAAACAACATACAGCTTCCTCTGTTTTGATACAGGCTTTTTACTGGTTGTTAACTCTTGTTTAACTTTGTCAAGTAAGCAGAAATCAGTTATACCATACATCCACTATGTTAGTGGAAATATAGGGCAAGGACTGGACTATGTGGGGGACAGAATTCATCCCTCTGCTTGAAGATGCTCTGCTGCTGAGTTTCTAGGTGACAGGGTTCTTTGCCTGGTGCCACAGCGCACAGGCTCCGTGTGGCTGCAGGTGTGCTGTGGCCACAGGGCAAGTTGCAAGCTACGTGAAGCCTGTTGAAGGTGGTGATGCTGAGATTTAAATTCAGCTTTTACGGCTAAAGCGTGTCAGTGCCTCAGGGGGGATGGCAAAAGGCTCTGTAGTACTGTGCAGATGGACAGCTGGAGAACAGCGAGCCTGTCAAGTGGGCCATTGGAAAGGTGGACAGGGGACAGCAAGGAGAGCTACTGGGATCTAAAGGGTGGTGTGTGGAGTTACAGGAGGAGAATTGTCTTGGTCCATGCTGGGGACTACACATGGAATTGGAAGGAATTTGGTCTTTAGTTTGTTCTTTACTGTACGCTTTGTTTTTTTTTTATTCTGATCCTTCAAAATTGATGATTGCCTGCTTTGTATTTGGACGAACACAATATTCCTCTTTGTGCATTATGACAATTACTAATTTACTAGACCCCACTCAGCTAATTCTGTGCTAAGCAAGGACAAAAGATGTCAAGGAAAATACACTTCAGCAGAACTTCTAGTGTTAATGCGTGAGCTCCCATGTAGTCTGTAGGGCAAAGAGAGAAATGGTATTACTATGGACTGAGTTTTTAGACCAAGTGACTCTGTTAACTCTGGTAACACATCTGAGAGTAGCTAGCACTAGATTAGGGGAAGCATCAGCAGATCTGTGCCAGCAGTGTAGGTGTGGCAGTTTGCACAATTTCGAAGCAACCTTCAGCATTCTGCTCCCTAAAACTAAGGACAATGAGCTCAAACATCAGGTTTTTTTCTCAGCAAATGCTTGTTGCTAGCTTCAGCTGTTGTAGCTCTGTGTCAGAGTGCAGCAAGGGCAAAGCTGATCCCTCAGGGAAAGGAGACCAGCAGAAGCAGTGGCTTCACCAGCAAGGAACCAGTCCCACTGTACTCTGAGTGAAGCAGACAGTGCCGATAGTGACAGAGCAGGTGTCGCGGCACAGCTTAGGCAAGGACCGGGGTGGGAGCCTCAGCTTAAAAGCAGCCTTGAAGGGAAAGAGGGTTCCCAAGAGAGCTATTTGAGGATCGCCCTCTGCTGAAGTTCCTTCAAGGTTTTTTTTCATGCCTTCTGTCAACTGGCTGACCTTGAACAGGCAGCCAGCTAAGCTGCTAGTGGTTGGACTGTGCTCCAGGTCCTGACACACTGGAGTTCTTTATTACTATACGTGTTTGCTTTCTCATTGAATCTTGCCAAATATTTGGCTTCTAAAATGATCTGTGGTGTTGAGTTCCTTATTTTAATCTCATTCTGGGCGGGAGTCTCGTCCTTTGAGATATGGCATTAGCCATTCCGGGATATCTGTTCTGTGCCTATCATATTTTGTCAGTTAAATGCTCACAAGTATTTTGAATGATAAAAATGTGAATTTTCTGTTTCCTTCCTCTGACCCTGGAGAGTCAATGGCATCTTTTCATAACACAGGGTTTTCTCATGCTGATCTGGGTGTAATTCATCTACTCAATCCTCTTCCTCACTGTTGCTTATTAGTGTCTGACAGTTTTAGTCTTGCTCAGGAGCAAGTAAATTTCAGATATATTTTTACACCATGTTTTGTGTTGAAAAGTTAATGGAAAATGGGATGTGTTTTATTTCATTATTAACATTAATTTTTTTATTATAATAGGCTAGGACTGGTAATCGTGTCAGTCTCTGGTTGAAGAAAATATTCACCTTTTTTGCTACAAGAAATAGTAGATTCCCAGGTTTTCCAGCAATTGCTTCAGTGGTTAAACAAAAGACAAAATACTTCTTATATTTATTCCAGAGTTAATTTAAATGTTTTCTTAAATGTTTCCATTCAGATCTTCTAGCACACACAAAAATATTTAATGGTAAGGCCATTAGTGATGTTGATCAATTATGTAATAAGTTGCAAGAAAGTGAAATCTACGGAAAATAGTACTGGCTTCCTGATGACTTAATGGGGTAGTTCAGCTACCCTTCAATCTGAAGGGTGTTTGAAAACCCCAACTTTACTCTCTTTTTAACCTGTAAAGAACTCTTTCCTCATACTGAAAATCCAGTGTGGCTTTCTGAAACCCAGCGTCCTGTCCAGTGTTGTTCCAAGTTGGCAAACTGCTTATTCTGCAGTTCTCAAATTGCACAGTTTTGTCACAACATATTAGATTTTTAACTAGCAAGCATATAATTAAGAATGACAGATGATTACTAGAGGATAATAGCCCCTCAATGGCAGTGTCACAATGCATCAGTTTAACATATGGTTAAATGCAAACTATTTTTTGTGTAGTATTTTATAGTGTATTGCTTGAAGATCTTGCTGGAAAAAAAGTGATACATGTATGGCTATAGAGAATACAGTTGTGAGAAAGTGCCCTGCTTGGTCTGTCTGTAAGAACTAAATATTACCTCCAGAACCTGAGTCCCCAGCTGGGGATCTGGCAGCAATTTGTTCATTAAGTGATTGAATCACCTCCTTTTGTTTAAATTCTACTCCACTTGAAACCTGTCCTTTATCTTATAAATAAGTTTAGGACAGCAGGTCAATAAAATAGGTGAAAGGTCAGTACACTGCATCCTACAAACATACATATTGATGACTCTGTAGCTCTGCTTGACTAACAAAAGGCCCAGCGGAATGCAGTGTGTGGGCTTCCCTACTGCTTTGTGGCAAAGCAGATGGGGCTGCAGTAACTTAATGCTCTTCTTTCTTTTTTTTCTTTTCTTTTCTTTTTTTTTTTTTTCCAGAAGGATTCTGGAGTTGATGAATGGGGACAGACTGCCATTCCCACAAGTAACCGGGATGGTGTATTTCAGCCTTTGGCTTCTTTGTTTTAAGTATTCACCAGAGTCCATTCAGTTTGCGGTGGTGTTGCTTGCTCTGAGCAGGCAGTGTTTCCTCCCCAATGGGATGTGTAGAACACACAGGCAGCACACACAGGAGCTGTGTAGCGCAGGGCTTTCAACATGAGGAAAATGGCCTGCCCTACAGATGGTGGTGGGGCATGCCAAGTGGCGGCTGTGGATCTGACCCAGTAACTTGCACAGCAGTATGGGGGACGACCATGGAAATCTTCCCAGGAGCTTAGCGTAGGGTTATGGAGAAAGGGGAATTGTGGTGGAAAGCAACTGAAGAGGAAAAACATGGCCATGGACGCAGATGC